AGTATTAAAAACAAGACAAGACTAGTATTAAAAAAAATTAGAACATTAAAATAAACCTGAGAAAAAGAAATAATCACAAGTTATCAAAAAAATAAAATTAAAAAATAGAAATATTTATACCTATATGATATTCTTAATTTTTGTCATTTTAAAGTTTTAGCTCTCATCAAGTTTGTGAAACACTTTGTAAAATGTCTATACTCAACCCTTAACTGGAGGCCAGACAAACTTGCTTTAGAATCTGAGTACAAAGAAAATGAGAGTTTAAGAACATTTAGAAAAGAGCACTCATTCAAAAATGAAAATATACACACATTTTCATACAAGAGTGTAGGAGGAAGAAAGACAATTTTTTCCATCATGATTGAATAGTGTAAATGTGTTAATACATACAAATTTAAATTGTGGTCAATATTCAAAATGTTCATAAAACCAATTAAGCACGGTACTTATCAACATTGGTAGATTACATATTTTCTTTGAAATCTGGCAGTCGTGTGATAATGGATCCTCTTGCTAATTTTAGATGCCAATTATTCTGTACCCCAGAAGAGTAAGAGTATATGTTTAGCTATATCAAATGTGAGTTTTCAGCTAAATATACACATGTATTCAGAAACAGGCACATATTTTCATATAAAAAACATGCTGGTATATTGTTTTATATTCAAAATATCTTTATATTGATGTGGTTCCTCTTATTTTGCTAAATCTTATTTATAACATTTTACAAAAAATACAAAGACAAATTTCAGAATTATTGTTACTTTTCTGGCCTATTTAATAAGAAAAAGTGCAAGAACATATGGTTAAAAGCAAAGTTAAACTTCAACAGTTTTCTCAAAATGGTTTCATAGAAGAGTCTAAAAATAACTAAACATACATTTACACACACACACCCACAATGAATATACATGCACATACAGAAATATGTATAATGAAATCTAAATCAGATATTATCAAAAATATGATTTTGTAATAAATACATTTTTTTTTTTTTTTAGACAACCACAAAAATTTTCAACATCAGAAAATTATGTAATTTAAAGATTAAAAAAAAATGCCAAACAAAAGACTCACAACAGTCAGCCAAAAAAGAGGAAAACAGTGTAGGGGAGCAGGAAAAATACCAAATAAATAGACAACATAAAAGGAGCCAAGATTTACAAAAAAGTGTGAATAAATTAAGAAAATTAAAATAGGGTAGTGAAGTCTATTAACTGTAAGACAATAACAATATAAGCTACAGAGTAAAACACACAAAAGACAAAGAGAAGTACTTAAAAGGAGGAAATACTACTTCATATTAGTAATGCGAGTCCTTTTTTTTTTCTTAAGTGCAGTCTTTTATCAGATTTGTTTTCCTTTAACCGCCTACTCACAAATACAAACTACAAGGTGCATTGTGGTCATTCCCAGTTCTGTTGACAAATGCAAATATCATAACTTTTTATTTCATTCACTACAATGGATAATCCCAATAAGGTAACACACTATAGTGAATATAGAAAGAACAGCAAGATTAAAAGACAACGTAAATAATGCTAACCATATTTTGTGACCAAATCTGGTTAGCAGAAATTTAACATCAAATAACTGAAAAGCAAACAGGTACCATTATTCAATAAGTCCAGCACATAAATTAGAGATAAACACTGACACAGCATCATCAGTCATTTCTCCTCTCAATTTGGTATATTAGTAGTAATGAGGCAAAATAAAGACACTGAAAGAAAAGAATGCAGGGAAATTAAGTTTACCAAGATATGATACAATCTTAATTAAAATTACATTTTCTGATACTATCTGCTTAACCATTGATATTTGCATAGGTTATGTTTTATTGTGCAGAAAATTTGTTTCCTGCTATCACTTATTGAACAAACTTCAACATAATCAATTCCAAAAGCATTAAGAATTTTCCAAGAATAGCCAATTATGCAAAAATGATTATTAAAATAAATATTTATTCTATTGTAAAGTTTTCTTTTGCTGCCTTTTAAAGACTTGTAGAAATGTACTTGTTACCACATTTTCAACAGAGCATCAACCAATTGCTAATGACAATTCTAAAGCACAAATTTTGCATAACAAAATAAAGTCTTAAACAGACACTAGAAATTATTCATTAGTTTAGTAAGCATGTTAAAAAAAAAACAAAAAAAAATGTACACCCAGCTGAAAGCATCAACAATTCAATAATGCAATACTTGTGTAAGTTTTTTTTTTTTATTTACATGGTAAAGAAAACCAAAACCTTTTATCAACTGAAGGATTAGCAAATATCCCACACACTGATAAACTGTAGTCAACAAAAAAACAATATTGCATGAATTTAAAACACTGCAAAAATTTAAAAACTACATGAAGTAATTTAAACTGATGCAAGTTTCCACCTTTTTTATAAAATCTTTACTTATACCATCATTATTCAGTTATCAAAGTATTTTCCCTGCCTTTCTAATTTATTTATTCAAAAAAAGAATGCTTCCAATTTTGATTCAATGAGTTTCTAGAGAATTTTTTCAACATGAACTTGTTGAAACAGCTGTCGAGACAAGGAGTATTGCATAGAACAAAACAAGTGATATTTTTAGAGAATAAGCAACATGTGAGAAAATTTGACATTGTTTTTACAATTGCTTGCCAAATTGAATTTGAAACATAATAGGTATCAAAATTTTCAATCAACTTCCTTAACCAGAAGGTCTTGTTCTCACAAGCCAATTGCTCAGTTGTTTTGTACAGCAATTTAACCTAATAAAGAATTTTCTCCTCCTCCCACAGAAGATACTAAAAGGCTGTCTCCTCTGGATCTAAATATTATTTATTTTGAATTCTTATAAATATATTTTTATCACAAGCAACTATTTTATCCAAATATAACATATTTTGCAACAAGCAAAAACAGAAATACAAGTGTTTATAAACACTAACTGATGTTCCTGTCTCTAACTTCATGTGAAACTTATTTTCCTAGGTATTGAATCTTTCTGAGGTTGTAAAGGCTGTACTGATTACATAAGCAATAAAGAATGGAGCTAATTTCAATAACATTTCTATTATTACCTTAACATTGCACAAAAGACAAAACTTTTGCATCTTATAATTTATATAAATTAACCAGGAGTAATCATATCAAAATACTGCATTTTCCTACTTTTTCAGATTTCAAATTCTATTTTTAATTCCAACAAGCCAAAAAAATAAATCTCGATACAAAAAATAGGAAATTGTTCATACTGAATCCATATTATTATTAGAGATAACTAGAAATTAAGTGGAAATCTTTTATGAAGAAGAAAAATATAATGGGAGACTTTACAATATTGGAGGATGTGGAGCCAGTGGATGGGGGTTAAAAAACTAGGTAATGTCATGTGAGGAAAATAGTTTTCCTCTTGGTAAAAATCAATTTCCCCCTGCTTGTCTTCAGTTACTTTTTGGTAAAAACTGCAACCAGACCATAGTAATTCCAAGTTTTTAACTGGCAAGACCTAATCACTAAAAGTAAAATATAAGGAATTGTCATTGCTCTTAAAATGCAGTCAGATATCAAGATTATAAAAACCCATGAAAAAGATTTGTTAAAAGTGATTGAAAGGGTTGCATTATAAATGAACAAAATTATTGGAATATATTTTCTTTAACTTTATAACTCCAATGATGTATACACATATTTTGAACCCAATGCATAGAATCAAAAAGATAAAGCCAAGAGTAGAATTCAATTCTTTGGTCTGATCAAGTAATCAATCCTCCTTGAGATAAACCACTAAAATGTTGTTTATAATCTACTGTGTGGTTTGTAATATTGACATCAACTATATATATATATATATATATATGTATGTGTGTGTGTGTTAAATTTGAATATACAGGCATCCCTTGATTATACGATTCGATTAGTGCACTAAAATTTTTATATACAAAAAACTCAATAAGTGCATATATAATACTCAATTAGCGTGGTAAAACATTCTTCAGTTTAGCCATAGTAATTGAAAATTGATTTTTTTTATAGTTTTCAATGTACACATAAGCCACACTGTATTCCCAGGTCTTAGTCTGGCAGATGCTACTGCAGTCTGTTTATAAAATTCTACAAATACACATCATTGAAGCAGTTAAATTGGAGTGAAATAATTTCAAGTTCATTGTTTTGTAATATCACTGGATGAGAATTTCATAAGAAATTGATTTCCTTAAAAATAAAAAAAAAGATTTGGTAAATTTCGGACAATGATGATGCATTGTTGAAGACAAAGTCAAAATAACATTCATTGGTCAATCTGTGATTGCACATCTAATTCCAGCACTTGTTATTTTCCAGAATGAAAGAGGCAGATAAATAATATCCTCTATTTAAAAAAATGATTAATAAAGATTTGAAAATAAAATTACAATGAAGGATTTTTAAATATAACTTCCCTCTATTGTTTGTGATCAAGATGGTAGAATGAAGAGCAGCAGAGCTGTTGTACATAAGCGGGTTTATAAAAAAAAATACAAGAGGCAGAGAAAGTGACCTCTTAAATTTGGAGGTAACTTTTTTTCCAGATATTTCAATTTTATTTATAGTATCATTTTAAATTATAGAAAACAAACATAGAAACAAGTAATCATAAAGATGGAGAATAAATTTTTAAATTTACTAGATATTTTCCCACCCAACATTTCTATTGTTTAAGTAATGCACATCTAAACTCCTTGCATTAGGAAATTCCATTATATATATATATATATATATATATATATATATATATATATATATGTGTGTGTGTGTATATATATATATATATATATATATATATATATAAATAAAAATAAAGTCTCTGAATTATGATTGATTGTCAGAAAATATTAGATTCTTTGAGAAGTTTTTTTATATTTGTTTTCTACAATTTCAGAAAATCATTAATACTGATGAAATATCTTTAAAAATGTATCCCAGAAAAATAAAGCCGAGTTTAAGAGATAAAAAAGATTTTAACAAGGTATTATTTAGTCCACCGCCATTTCTGTTGTCTGGTCTGAAAATTTTGTTGGCAAGCTCTCTGTGCTGTTGTTCGTGTAACCACTCCCCTATGTTCTGGTACATTTGGTGTGTGCCCGGGAGAGTTGGTATTTTGATTGGTGTTACTACGAGTGGATACGGGACTCATGTGTGGATGTGAAGTTGATCGAGTTGCCATACCCCCATGTTGAGGGCTAGTTACAGCTGTAGTAGCAGTAGTCGTTGCTGTCTTTCCTTGCATGGGAGGAGTGACTGCTGCTCGTGGACCCCCACTTTTCCCAGATGGTGATGAAGTTTTTGAAGGGGGAGTTTTGCTCACTGTTGGCACTGAGGCAGATGCAGAAGGTGGAGGAGTTAGCTTTTGCATAATAATAGGAGTGAGTATTTTGGCTGTTCTTGTCATCTGAGGAGTTGATGGGGGTGATGCTGCAAGAGGAGGGGTGGTCTTTTTGCTGATTGTTAAGGATGCCTTGCTGAGAAGCACTTCTGTAGATGGAGAAGTGGCTAATTTGTTGGACAAACTGCTTGCCTCCTTGTCATTCTCTGGAGTCTCTAAAATAAACATAGACTTTGAGGGAGGTGGCTCTGGAGATGACCACAAATTTAAGAGACTACGAACATGGCGCAGGTGATCGAAAGGAGAAACCTGAATCAAAAATGAAAGAAAATTTGTAAGCATTCAAAATATTTCTTTATATCTATTTCACTAAATATCTCAGAATGATTCAATAAAGGCAAGTTAAATTTACAGCATATACCATGGGAATGCATAAAGCATATGAAATTGTTAAAATGTTTTCTAAATTATCTGACAAAACCTACAATGATCGTATACCTTAAAATCATTTAAAGTTATTTTAACTAATACAAGTTATATAATTCTGTATTTTTCAATGGAACTATTTTAATCAAATACACACACACAACTGGATATTTGTTACAAACCTTTCTTTACATATGAACATTTCAGGAAACACTAAGTGTAGAACTAACAAAATCCACCAGTGCCACAATAAGAGAGTCAGTTTTATTATAAAACCCATGGTAAAGTTTAACCTTTGAACCCACAAAAAAGTATGTCAAAAGGACAGTTTTTCTGTTGACACTACTAAAAATGGATTTACACAAGGTTGTGCTATCAAGGTGTAGGGTGATATAATAGTTATTAGAATGGGGAACACACTCAGCAAATAAAGGTTAAAGTTCAACTGAGGACTTTGTAATAATATCATTGAAAAAGCATGAATCTACTTCTCCCTGTGCTGTCTGTCTCTTGCATGCCACAATGGTCAGAGAAGAGTGGGTGAGTGAGCACTTGAGTAAACCATTCTCCCATGACTATCTATCCAGGCAATAACAATAAAAAGATATACCCCCAATATCAACCATGAGAGGGTTTATTTATAAACTATGAAATCAATAGAAATACTAATTCTAACAAATCAAAATAACTTGTTATATTTAAAATCGATATTGATCAAATGTCGATAGTAGTGTTCTTGTAATGGCTTGCCAAAACTAAAAGTGTCTCATAATAAAATTGACTTATTTTAATAGCAGGAAATTTCCCTCCAAAAGGATACTTAAATCAAATCTCATGCTATTGATAATAGTGTATGAGGTCTTTCTAGATTTTCCAGATATTCCCAACACAAACTTTGCACAAACATTTTTTTTTAAATGATTTTTCCCTATGCAAGACAGTAAAGCCACTAAGACACAGGGGTTACTAAGTGTGAAAGAATAAGAAAAAAGGGAAACATTACTAAGGAGCAATGACAATAGAAGGTGAGTGGAATAAATAATTACATACCTAACGAATTTCTATGCCGGCAAAGTTAAAATTTGATAGTGATATGAAAAAAGACAGACAATTTTTTCAACTACAAACCTTTTTTGGTTCATTCGGATCACAGATGTTGAAGTGGGTTGATAAAATACTACACGATTCTTCCCATGCTGCAGCCACCTTCTTTGATTGTGGGTAGCTTACAGTGCTTCCATTGCAACTGCTCTCCACAGCAGCAGCATCTTGACTGTTATAGGCCTCATTCAACAGGTTAATTTCCAGGTCTAATTCAGCTGCAACATAACAAGCTTCAACGTTGACCCAAGGACACCAGTTACGATGCTCAGCAACAGGATCCAATGTCTCCTTCACACTCTTCAAAAAATAGAATAGGAGAAAATTCAGTTAAATTTCTGAAAGGAGGTACTTTTATTATAATACATTGATTCATTTGAACCACTTTTTCCTAATCTTTGTTATATACCATTTCAGTTTGGCTTTCTTTAGGTGTTTAACATATTCAATAAAATTAGATATTTCTATGGGTATATGTTCTCATTTTACATATCACAGAGTGTCCTTGCATGGAAATTTCAGATACAACAGACACCTCAAAAGGCCAGAGTTAACAGTAGACAAAATGATGTGATTTAAAAAAAAAAAAATCCAGCATTTTAAATGGACTGTTCTTATCCATGTGACAGTAAATAGAACTTTGTTTGAATTTCTGAGATAAGAAATTTTCATGATTATCCACAGATTTATTCAAACTGTTGTCCTCATCTTGGTTGTTATAATCACAATATTTTGAGCATTGTACCCTTTAACTTTCTTCAAGTGTCAGTCATATTTGGCAATATTTTCAAAATGTAAAACTGAACTCTTTATTTCTATTAACACAAAAAGTCACCCAATATAAGGCTTGGGAGCCTCTCAAAGTAGAGAGTTATTGTTAAAAAGAATGAGGTGTATGATATAAATGAAAGAGGAGATAGTAGGAAGTGAGGATAAATAATGATTGACCACTGACTTAAAGAGGTTAAGACTAGTGCTTAGAGAAGCATACACATGGAAGTTTTTCACAAAGTGGCGGAAAAGCTGTCTTAGTGGAACTTTTATTCTTACATTTGGAATATGGAAGAAATGAGTGTGATTTAACTCTAGAATTCAATCCACAGAAGTAGTCTACACCTTGTAGACTGAATAAAGAGTTCAGTTCAAAATTCCAAGAATGTTACCAATCAACAGACACTTGAAGGCCAGACGATACAACAGCCAAAATGTTATAACCATATCCAAAATGAGGACAACAGTTTGAATTAATCTTTGTTTAATAGTAAATGCAACCATTTCAAAAATCAAAACTTATTTGCAAACAGAACAATTACTACATGCTGGTTGCAAGAAAAGAGGATTTTATGTTGTACAATTAACATCTATTATTTTTTTTTATCATTTCACCTCAAGTAAAGCAATAAACCCACTAATACACAAAGGAGTTACTGAAAGCGAGAGAACATGAGAAAAAATTAATGGAGAGAACAATAAAAGAATAGAAATTAACAAAACAGAAGATAACGATAACAATTGATGTTGCATTTAAATTTTTGAAGATCAAAGGTGATTGGAAAGCAAGAAAATGATGAAAGTTTTCTGCCAATCTAGTACCACATTTAAATTCATAAAGTCTAGATACCATAGAGGAAAGCTCATCAGAATAATTACCATGAAAATTTTTATTGAAAAGGCACAAGGAAACTATGTTACAGCAGTGAGAAAGTGATTGAAACCATGATGTTAGGTCAGGACCCACAGTATTACAGATTCTTCTTTGTATTTTATCAAGAATTTCTAAATGCATAGCAGAGGCACAAGACCAGATGTGGCTGCAATATTCAATGACAAATGGTAGACTTATAAATGTCTCAGATAAATTCTGGCAAAAAAAAAAAAAAAAAAAAAAAAAAAAAAAAACAAAACAAAAACTGCATAGCACAACACAGTGAACCAACTTTCTTAGCAGTAGACTTAGCAATTGATTCATTGTAATCATTCCACTTCATGTCAGCGAAAAATGTTATCCCAAGAAGGGACAATGCTACTAGAGATTAGCATCAGCTATGCTGATGTGAGCATAAAAAAGGGTCCTCTCAGACAATTATAAAGAGAGCAGTTTCATTTTGGAGACATTAAAATTAACAAGCTATTCTTTTCTCTAGTCAACAACAAAATGTAACTCATTTATGAGATCAAATGCCAATTTGACCCTACCGAACCAATCAGACTTACTATTAAGACAGGAGTAAATAGTTGTGTTATCAGCATAGATACAGAGTTGAGATACCATCAGGAAGATCATTGATGAAAATTAGGAACAACATTAAGTCCATGGATAGAGCACTGGGGGACGCCTGCACTTATGCAAACATTTTTACTTCTGTATTTAGCTAAATGCTATATTGATTAAGAAAAAATAAGCCAATACAGGTTAATTTCATGTTGTAACCTATTTAAACTTAGACAATTGTGGGTGAAAAAAAGAAAAAAAATTATAGCTCTGATATTTTAGCAATACTGCTTGCTTTTATTTATGAAATATATATATATATATATATATATATTGAAATATTGTTGTTAATCAATTTTGAAAATAATTATAAAATTAAACAAATTAAAACATTTCTGAAGCTTTAAAGAATTACTGAGTAAATGCTAAAATTCATAAATTTAGAGAGAGAACAGATTCACAAAGCTTTCTTAATCTATAAACAATCTGAAAAGTTACCAACTTTTCATACTCCTAATTTCAAGAATATGAACAGAGCACATTTCTTCCCATAGACAAAATGGTCAGAATCTAAAAGAAAGGAAAGAATAGTTATATACTCACAAGTTTAATTCGTTTTTCTGGTGGGCTGCCAACTTTCTTTCTCTTTCTTGTATTGGCAGGTTCTGGAGTTTTGGGGACAAAATGGCCATTCATGTTTGGGGAGCTAGCTACACGTACATAATTCCAGAGGCCAATCTGACGCTGACAATATTCACATACCAACAAATCACAACTTTTGCTCCTTGAATGAAAACAACAAAATAATCAAGTAAATAGACACAAATCTAACATTAGTCATGTTGTGTAGACACAGGTGGATTTGTAATCTGTTTAGTTGAAAACTCAAAATATTTATGAGGAAATAGTTGAATTTTATCTTTTGTTTTGGAGTTGGAAAATCTTGGATTTGATCTAGAAATCTCTCTTTATTGAAGTAAATAGAATTTTCAAAATTCAAATAATTGTGCTTCTTATTGATTTTTTTACTAAAAGAAAAAGTTTCTAATTTTTGACTATCACAGGTAAAAATCCATACAGTTTCTCATATTAACATTATGAAAGTCTGACATTAAAAAATCTACTATAAAATGTTATTAGTTTCACTATTTCATAGATGCATCAATTTTAAGATTAGGTAACCCAGTTATTCATAAAGTTCTCTTCTGTTTATTATTTCATTATGTCCAGTTTTCCACTCCATGTTTAACTGTTAGAATAAGAAAACACAAAATGAAATATTAATAACAGAAGTTTCTTTAATCTGAATATAAAAATAGAGTGTGAAGTAGTTTCTGTAAAGGATGAAAAAAAAAAACAAAAAAGAAAAGAAAATTATAATAAATAAAATTAAAAAAATAATTTAATTAACAAGCATGATTGATTTTGCCAATATTTCAATGTTTATTTGCATCATCTTTGGAATATGTGAAACAACTGAAATATTAATTTAACTACACTCATTGTTTGCCAATCAACCATTGATTATTATTGAAGAGCAAAGCTAGAGGCTTTTATGATTGCAGACTCAACTCAGAGAACAAAATATTTGCCACTGTTTGGAAAGATAACAATAATGTAAGAATGCTGTCAAACTTTCAAGGTGCACTACCACATGTAAGTGTGAAATGGTGGAATAGAGAAATGAACAAGAAAGTAAATGTGCTACAGCCCAAATGCATACCTTTTCTGCAGTGTTCCCCATTTGAGGCTTTTTGAAAAATTAGCTTTAATTTTCAAAGTACCAGCTATTCAAAGAAAATTTTAATTGTATGTTGTTTTAACTCCTAAAACACCTGTCTGGGCCCAAAATTTAGTGGTCAATGGTTTCAGAAAATGAATAATTAGATTAACTTCACTCACCATATTTTAGTCACTTAGTTATAGACTGAATTGTGTAATTTATAATCCACACACATCTCTCTAATCTGAAATTCTTTACCGATTACATGGCAAACATGTTTGCTGCCTGATAAGATGAAAAGGTCTCTCCAATGGCTAGGTTTGAATAGGTCTTAGTGTAGAGGCTATTAGAACTAGACCAACACATAATCATGCTTGTTTAACACACTAAATGACCACAGAATGAAATATTATTATAACTTATTAAATTATCATTACAAATCAATAAATAAAATGAATAAAAGATATATAAATATGGAGGAATCGTCAATTGAATATTATTAGTTTTTTTCCAGAGTATTCTTTGCCAAATTATAAATAAAAAAATAAAAATATTAAAAAATAATTAATGATTACCAAATGTGACATAAGGAAACAGTGACTGAAACAAAGGTGAAGATGCTAGTTTGAATAATGATTATACAAGGTATATCCAGTAATTTTGAATATCTTCAGAAAGAAAATAGCAAATTTAATGTAACTTGACAATAGATCAGGTGGTGGTGGGAGGTCGTTACTGCAAATGCATGAACACTTTCCTATGGAGTTATTCAAAGAACAGCAAGATGCTATTGAGCGGGTTTGTGTATTGTGTGACAGTTGCATTCATGATGACTGTAAAGAGGATTCTTCACATCTCATGCACAGTTTTGAGGCACATCATCACATCACCCATGAATGACCACTTTAACCAAAGAGAGAAATTTCTGGGTTGAGGAGTTATCATTATTGACATTGTTTACACTCAGATTATGTTGTTACTACTCCAACATTTCAGCCTTCTTCAGGTATTTGTTTATCCAGGTGATTTCAAACTGAACATTTTATGCAATCTATGAGGATAAATTGTTCTCATTCTACTACTCAATTAAACATTGTGCAGTGTTTTGTCTTAGTTACATGTATTTTAGCACTGTTCAGTTACTGCTAATCCTGTTTTCACTAAGTCTTGAGTATATCAATTCTACCCACCCCAGGGATTGAACTCATAATTACTATGCCAGTAACTCACTAACCAATGCTTTAGTCCTCTAGGCCATTGTCCTGTGGGAAAATCTTTAAGTTAGAACTCGGATCCTTAAACCTAATGTTGTTCTGGCCTCTTCTACTGCTGCAGCCCCATTGTTAAGCTTAGTTTCCGCTGCTGCTGCGGTTTCTCTTTTGTATTGCCTTCCTTTGTCGCTGCCATTTTTTTTTTTTTTGCTGTGCCTCAGTGTTATGAGTTGTTGGTATTTCTGGCATACTATGTTATTTCTTTAAATTAATGTCCCCCCCCCATATAGTATTTATATCTATGCTAGGCCTACTGAGGATGCTGTCATAGTCTAGTATATGCACTCAATCCTTCAGACATCAAATTCCCTAGAGTTGTTTTCTGTCTAATTGTAAGTTCAATTCCTGATCCAGGTAGTTCAGATACACCCAGACTGAGTGGAAACAGGACAAACAATAACTGAGCAATACTAAAGAACAATTGACCAAAATGAGATATCCCTAGACATTACAGCAGAATGAGAACAATCTACCCCAATAGATTAAATAAAAGGGTTCAGTTCAAAATTTGCTGATGGTTACCTGGATTGACAGATACCTGAAGAAGGTTGAACTGTAGTTACAACAAAGATTAATCTGACTGCAAATAATATAAAGAAAATAAATTAATTTATTAGAACAAATGTGTGTCTCTGCTTTTTTTAGGCTATGTGGGCCAATTTCAAACTTCTTCATTGAGATCTTTCTAAAGTTTCAAAAAACAAAAAGCTCACTGAATACATCACAGGTCCAAAACTGATAATCAATTTATTAAACCGGTTTAGTCTTTGAAAAATTACTTTTTCAAATTCTGATTAAAAAAAAAAAAAAAAAAAAAAAAAATGTAATATTTCTAAATCTTTGTAAGTATTCCCCACCTTCACTGAAAATGATTTTGAAATCAGTGTTGGTATCTCAAAGAGGAAATAAATTACTGAATGTGTTATCTTAAACTAGAAGTAAAATTGTATTTCAAGCAATAAGGATTCTTTAAACAAAAGAAAATCATTCAAACAAGGGCATTCATTTTTAAACAACTGGGAAAACAGTAAGTTGGAAAATAAAAATAAAATGGAATTCCTTATCTCATAGACTTAAAAAAAAAAAAAAAAAAATGTAATTTCTACTGATACACTTAAGGAGTTAAAAAAAAATGTTTACTATATCTGATCTTTAAGAATATATGTATTAAAAATAAGAAAAAAAAATGAAAATAATCTTAAAAGCCCCAAAAAACAGTAAAAATATTTTAAAAAATCGTTAGAAAATAGATAATCTTTTTGATAATTTTTCGTTAAAATGATGATTTTCATTAAGAACAAAAGAAAAAGAAAAAAAGAAAGAAAATGGACACCATTTATTTGTAATTTCTGATGATAAAATTTTAAAAAAAGTCAATATTCCATCTTAAAAGATTTGGACTAACTTAAGAGATTAACTTTTAATATAGACAGGAGGTTTCAAACCCAAGCATCCTTGTTTTTAGTTGTTTGCAAAAAATAAATGCAGAATTTAAGATAGACAAATAAAAGTGCTTACAAAACATGTAAAACAGTATTAATGACTTACTCCACAATATTATAACAGACAGATCTCCAATAATATATTTACATCAAACAACTTTGATCCTCAATGAGTTAAGAAACACAAAATAAACTTTATACACATCCACTGATTAGAAACACTAACTTTTGACTGCTGATTAATTTGCAGGATTTACAAAATACTATATTTTTCATGTCTTTAAAAACCCAGAGTTCTTTGTATATTAAAATTACCATTATATCTGCTAATGCAATTTGGTAAAGAAAAATTCTTCAACCACTAAAAGATTTTATCACCAACTTGAAAAACAAGTAATATAATCGTTTAGAATTTTCTTTGCTCAAAATATAGTCATTACTGTGATTTTCAACAAACACATAATAAACACACACTATATGACAATTACATACAAAATCTGTCTCAGTTGGTAAATATCTTGTAATCTCTCTCCATACACAGAGATACATACAAGGGAAACTCCAAAAATAATGTCACCTATTTATTTCCATAGAAACTCCAACAGATACCATTGGCCAGATCAAATTTTAATATACAAAACACTATTTTTCCACATAGACATCATCATTGACCATGTATTTTCAATGCAATCTTATTTCATAAGTTAACAGTTATGCAGGTCAAACCCCAAACAAGGCTTGTCAACACTTCTAAAGTGAATTACCAACTTCCTGTGCTCATCTTAGTTTGTAGACATTCAGCAAGCATTGATGAAGGTCAATAGGTACAAATTTTGGATGCACAGAGGAATTCAATGATACACCTATTTCATATACACTTTCAGAGCAAGCACCATTTTTTTCCTCACCATTCTACAAAAAAGGCAAAAGAAATGGGTTTTTGGTTAAAAAGATTTAACCTCTAGTGCCATAACCCCATCTACCTCTGACATCTTAAGCCAATATAAAATAGGATGCATTACTTTTGGAGAATCTCTTGTCTGCCAAACTGGATGCCCAATTGCTACATTTGTGTCTGACACTCAAAGTTGTAAGAGAAAAAGTATAAAACCAATAAGAAGGAGAGGCAAGAAAAAAGACAAAAATGAGAAATAGCCACAACATTCTACACATACACACGGGCAGGCACATATTGAAAGAAGAAAAGTAACCTTGCACTAATGAAAACTAGATAAATTATTTTCTAACAATATAAATGTGATGAAAAATGATAAAATAAACAGTTAATTGCTGTCATCTCTTGACAAGTGGATGGAGCGATTGCAGGAGTGCCTGTCTATGAAAGTATAGAGTTGAGATGCTGAAAATAACATCAATCAGCTATGTGAAAAATTTTATATTTGTATTATATATATATGTAGAAATGTTATGTATGTTCATCCCTTCTCCTCCTTAATGCCATTAAATTCCCGTAGACAATAAATAGGGCCTCAGCTCCACCATGCTAAGTTTCTGTAGCAAATAGGGGAGAGTAGAGTGGAGTTGTCAGCCCAACCAGTTTTGAATTCAGAGTTATCATTCTCCTAAACTGGTTACCAACCAAGGCCAGAAACCAAGTCCTTGCTATTTAACATAGTTTTGTAGATGGATACATACTTCCCCAAAGGAATTTGTGCAAAAGGGAACATAACAAACTTGGTCAGAATTTAAACTCAGCTCAAGGATTCCACTCTTTACGTCAATACCACTACACTATAAGCTGTATGTTCAAGTTAATTCAATTACAATAGAATTTGTAAGAATAAATAAATAAAAATATTTACCTAACAATCCAACCACACAAAGCAAGAGGCACAGCCTTTTTAAGAATTTCCTGTTGATTTGACTGCAAATATTTGTCAGCATAAGCAACAGGAAGAACTTCCCAGAAATCTGACAAAGTTTCCTGCAAGATTAAAAGCATGAGTATCAGATGCTAGAAAAAGAAAAATGCTGCAAGATTCTTATAGAATTTATTTGATGCACTCATAGCAATTAAATAAAAACATGTTGATTTTGCATACAATACTGAAAAAGCAAATAGAAAAACAAAATTTCAGGTATCAATTTTCAAATAAATTTAGATGAAGTTGATACATATAAAAGTTAAAAACAAAAAATTTTGATTGTTGCAAAAGAAGGTCATTTCTTTTTCTATGAAAAGAAACAAAGGGTTACTTGGTCACAGTTTTTTTTTAATATACAGACACTTTAAATATCATTTGAATTATTTAACTAAGAAAAATTGTTCTATTTTTAAAGTTATACACTTTTTATTTAGATGTCATTTGTATTTTTTGTTTACAAATATTTTTTCAGTTACAGTTTTGTTAGTGTTGTGTCGGAAACCTACCACCTCTCTTGAAGATGAACCTGTCTGCGTCTGTGAACAAAGACTTTAAATAGTGGCATGTCAGTTGACATGGGGAAGACAGATGATAGTTCTTAGCTGAGCTAGTTATTGACTACTCAAGCGATTTCTGTACCTTTTTGCCAACCTATTAAAACCCTTTTTATTGTTACGTGTTATTTGGCGTTTGTCTCTACTAACCCCAAATCAACATCATAACAGTTGTCATATTCTTTGGATGTTAAATAGAATACAAGTTTGAATCTTACTTGAAGCCACTTTATTCCAAATTTCTTTGATTTTAATGTTCAAATACAGAGTGGAAAAATAATAGAAAAAGATAAAGCAACAAAAATTGATGAATAACTAAAAAGTTTTTTTTAATAATTAATATACTTTATCTTAGTATGTCAAAACTGTTTTAATGTATAATTTAAAAAAAAAAAAAAATACTGTTCAAATGAACTTCTTTGGTAAGGTAAGGTAACTTCCTTGTGCCTTTTCTATAAATATTTTCATAGAAATTGGTCTGATGAACTTTCCTCTATGGTACCTAAACTTCATGAATTTAAGTGCAGTACTAGATTGGCAGCAAGGTCTCATCTTTTTACAGTTGAAATTGCTGAATGTAATCCTAAGTTCTATGCTAACAGTTTCTTCTTTCACACTTCTTGCTTGTGGAACTTTTCTAGTTTCTAACTTTCTAGTCAACTTTGAGCTTCAAAAATTTGCCAATCATTATCTTCTTAATTTCTGTTCTTTTATTTTCTCTCATACTTGCTTGGGATGAAATGATTAAAAAACAAAAGTGTTCAAATGATGCTGTTATCAAATATATAAACATTATGTAAATTCAATTAAAAAGAAAAACAACTAAATAATCAAGGTTCCCACAGATCTGTGTAAAAAAAAAAAAAAAAAATTCCAGGACTATGTTCAGATATTTCAAGGACTGAAACTGATGCGTGCAAACACACAGAAAGTGAATGATCATCAGTTTAAAAAACCCAAACTTTGTGATTTATCTTATTAGTTTGACAGATGAGATATTCAAAGAAAAGCTACAGCTGTTTCCAGTAATTCATGTCACACAGATCAGTTGAAAGCAGTGAAGAAATCAAAGTGTTGAAGGCTAAAACACAAGTGAATGCAGACATGGTAATGTTACACATTTTGTATAGTATTCTACAGTTGGGAGTTCTACTACACTTGAAAGCTTTGAATTACACACTGTAATTCTTACTGCTACACATTTTAGATATCCTGACTATTCATAGTTTGCAAATGTCACAAAAATTCTTGACTGCTGCACATTTCCTGTGAAATATAATGGTTTTAATGAACAGAACTACAAATAGAAATTTCCACAAAATGACTACACATTTTAGCTACCGCTACTACTCATGGCTTTCATTGCACATGGCACAGAATGCAACGATGTTAACATTTTTTCAGTTCATCTAGCGCATCTTCCAATTTGGATATTTGTCAATTTGTCCTTTGCAGATCTTTGCGTGGCATTGGTCTTTGCGATAAGTGTGAAGTTCTGAGTCTGCTTCACTTTCTCTGCATGACTTGAATAAATCTTGTGTGCAACTTTCAAGTTTGTGTTTTTTGGTCTTCAGTTCTTCAATTTCCATAAGCATGGATTTCCATTTTTTTCCAACTGCTTCTTCTTGTCTTTTTTTTCTTTTCAGCCTCAAGTTGGTTGCATGCTGTTCTAGCATTGGAAGCACTGCAGAGAAGACCCTTAGTCATGGGAACATTCCCAGTACCTCCAACTGTGGCCTAATAGTCTGTGATAATACACTGTGCAACCAGAACCTGCTGTTTTATATTGTCAGTGACAGAGAAACCTTTCTCCATGAGAGAGTACCAGCAATCTGTAAACAATTTTCCACAATTTTTAATATTCTTTGTTACTAGACAAAGAAGAGTAGAACGAAGTGTCCAGGTCTTAATGCTTGCTGAAATTCTTGAAAGCAATATTTCCAGCAGCCTTTTCTTTGAACTATTTGTACTAAATGATTAGGTTGTCATAATCAGACTTGCTGACTTATTTTCTGTCCATCATGTGGGAAAGATCTTTTTAGACTGTTTCAGTGGCCAATTTTTTTTTTTCACAAATGGATCCAGGGTTCAGCCATACAAGTGACCTTACAAAAGTGTATCTAAGGGAAGATCTTGCCAGAAGTTTCACAATGATGGCAATGAACATTGCCTTTGTTGCAATATTGCATGCAAACAGATCTTTTGTAGACATTTCCTCTTCATCTGTGATTTTCTTTGTTTTTAAGAAAATTTTTCTGATTCTAAGTATTTTGTTTGGTTTTTGGAATGCATGTTTCACTATTCCAATGTTCCTTCAGATTTTGGAGTCACATTCCCCATCTTCTGTTAAAACACTTCCCAAATATTTAAACTTTTGTACTCATTTGATTTTGACATCTAATTCGTAATTCACATCTTGGACTTTTTTCTTGCTAAATATTCAATCTTCTTACAATTAATGGGGTTAATCTTTTCTTCCTGCTTTCCTTTATTACCTTGTCGAGAGGGTCCTGGAGTTTTTCCTTTTATGTCTGACATTATTGTCTGCATATGTCCAATATTTTATAATACTTTAATAACAAGACAAAGTGATTAGCAATAAAACTGAACGCTTAGAATGTATGCCGGCCCCAAAGTAGCATTAGTTCTGTTGGACTTGTCAGATACTGACCACTTTATGCAGTTGCATCTTGACCATTAACATCTTTCAAAAATTCTATTCACCTTTCAGAATAAGTGGAAATTACAGATATCAAAATCAGTAAGAATGGGGGGAGGGTGAGAGAAATTTTAAATTTAAAAATCAAAAGGGTGTATGCATAAATTATACTTACAGCCTGTTCACATGTCTCAAGGGAAATATTTGGAAGTTTGTCATCACCAAGTTGCAACAGTTTATGGACCCGTTCACAAAATCCATTGATAATACTGTCTTTGTTATGGATATCAATTGTCATAAACAATTCTGGAATAAAAATGATGGCATAGTTTCAGTATTTTCATTTTTGCCCCCAAAATATTTGAGAATTCTATCAGCAGAGGAGGAAACATGAACATTAGATTTTCAAATAAAACTTTAATTCATGTACAAATATTCTAATGCTAAAACAGTTCTACATAAAAGATCAAATGTCAGCAGGAGTGAAAATGACTGTTCTCACTTTTAGCAATCAAAGATTTAACAAGAAATTAAGAAAATTCAAATTAAAATATTTGTCTTTTTTATTTGTGCATTAGAAAAGTAAATTACTCAAGAAAAAGATTTTTTTAATTTAATGAAATGAGAGAGAGAGAGCACCCCCACCCACCATAGAATAAAGGTAAAGCTCATTTTGCAAGAGTAAATCTTAGTAAAAAAACTTTCTTGTTCCAGACTAAATATATTAAATAACCATAACAAATGAATATGGGTATTTTCATTTATATTCACTTTTCATAAGAAATATGCATCTTATATTGGAACTGACTCCTCAAATACAACTAAGCAGCAAGTTTATTCCCAATATAGTAATCCCAACATGCACCTAGAACAGAGCATATTCCAAAACTTACTTTTCAAATTAGAAAAAATCAACTGTAAATGTTTCTTTTTATTTATTAAATGCAATATATATTTAAAGTTTATTAAATGCATTAATTTATATGTCTGAATCACCTAAATTTATAAGATTTACTCACAGTTCAGACAGATTTCTGCAGGCAGTTATTGCGATCAAATGGTAAATTTCCTTTTAGAAATTTCAAATTGCCATAGACCACACCAGGTAAAGTAACATTTTAAGCTTACAGAAGACTTCATTATTTATTTCAGTTTTTCATCATTTTATTGGAAACTCCAATTTAATTTTAGCAAACATAAGTATTAGGTAAGGTATATGGCATTATTTACCGCCAAATGGGGATCAACATATACTGGAGGCTGAACTTGAATATTTTATCTTAGTGTCTTGGTTAACCCTTTAGCTTCCAACACACTCAAATCCATTCTATAAATATCGTTTCTCAAAGTCTCACTATTTGCATCATTTGCACTGATGTCATCCTATTATAACAGACTATACACATAGGGCGGGTTGAACATTTAAAGCCAATATTTACAGAGAGGGTTGAATGCTAAAGAGTTAAGTTGTAAGATACAATTTATAGAAGCAAAAACACACACACACACTATATATATATATATATATATATTACAATAAACGTGCAATCAATTTACAAATACATGAATTATTCACACAAAACTAATGCAAAGGTTAATGATTTTAAAATGAGACATCCATCTCGCAAACAATTCAAATATTACACAAAAAACCTTAGATCCGTTATGAATGAATTGATCCTTGTTCATATAAATTTCTGCCGTATTAGTTGTTATTTTTACATTAGTTTTGTGTGAATAATTCATGTATTTGTAAATTGATTGCACGTTTATTGTAATTTAAATAACTGATCCATGTGCAGATTTTTTAGATAATAAGTGCGACATTACTGTAATTATTGAACAATATAGTTCATGCCACTTTGACAGTAAAATTTACCAGTAAAATAATTTGTTCATTACCATATTTGGTATAAACGCAAAACATTTAAAAAAAGAAATTCAAAAATCAAACTCAGCGTTGCTTTTTGCTGCTCAAAAAACCAATATCTCATTTTCAATAGCATTTCGGATACAATACACATATATTTTCGATGTCCTCTTATTACTAAGAGAAAAAAACAAAAACAACATCTATTATATACCTGAAGATGTCTGTATGAACAGATGAAAGCTTGTGTAAAAATAACAACTAATACGGCAGAAATTTATATGAACAAGGATCAATTCATTCATAACGGATCTAAGGTTTTTTGTGTAATATTTGAATTGTTTTTAGATGGATGTCTCGCCATTTAAAATCATTAACCTTTTGCATTAGTTTTGTGAATAATATATATATATATATATATATATATATATATATATATATATATATACACACATATACACAACCAGAATATCTTAATGGCTGAGTTTAAATAAGAACAAGCATTCTTAAAAATAAATAAATCTTTAGCAAAATATATTCAGTAAAGACTAACCAGAACTAGGATTTGATGGCCATGGACACAACTTTTCATGGGATGATGATAAAGAGCTCTTTAGTTTGTTACAAAATTTTTTGTCTGCAAAAACAAAACAGATCCAATATATTCTTCTGGTCAAAGAAACATCAATTTGTTATTTTTATGACAAATTTCATACTTAATGATTAGTAAATTTCTGCTCATTCAGCTGTTGTGCCCTCAGGCCTTCATCAGGCGTTTTGTTAATCCAGGTAACTTTCAGGGAATTTCAAATTGAACCCATTATTTAATCTACAAGGCTAGATTGTTCTCATTCTGCTATGCCTTGTGAATTCACATCATGTTCTTATTAGTACTGCTCAGTTGTTGCTTGCCTTGTTTCTACTGACAATAGACAACTGGACTAAAATGTTGGTTTGTGAATTTGGTGATATAGTAATTGTAAATTCAATCCTTCAGCTGAGTATTGCAAACTTAGACTTAGTGAAAACAGGGTAAGTAATAACCAAGTAGTATTAAATAAGAGATAATCTGAAATATAAACAGTGGTATGAGAACAATCTATCCACATAGATTAAATAAAGGGTTCAGTTCAAAATTCCTTAAATGCTGCCCAGATCAACAAACCCCCTGAAGAAGGCTGGAGGGCACAATCGCTGAAACGTTGTGACAAGAACAAATATGAGGACAATAGTGTAAATAATGTCATTGAAAAGTTCAATATTTTAACATCCTTAACACTCAATTGTCCTTATTTTCTCAAAATGCAAGCATCTACAGTAGAGGACTATTTTTTTTATATTTACATTTAACAAACGATTGCTTATGAATCCCAGGCAACACTGGTTAATGTATTCATTAGTTCTGAAGCAAATAAGAAATTACAATACAAAATCGAATGTTCAACATATATTGGAGGTAGAAACAGCTAAAACAGAAAGAAAAAGTAACGCTCTTTCCATAGAAAAAAAAAAAAAAAAATCAATAAGACTACATAAAAAAATATTAAAATAACTTCAAGGTTTTATAATGGCATACATAAAGCAAACTTTAAATTTACTTACAGGATTCCTGGTTTGAAGAATTTGGTAGCTTTGCACATAAAACAGCCTTGCAGGAGACACACTGTAGCATGTCAACATCTGTATTTTTCCAGCCATAACGGGCACAAATCATAGGCGATAAAGACAGAGGTTTGGCAAACCAAGTTCTGACTTGATCCAATTAAGGGTGAAAAACATTCAAAACAATTAAGACAGTTTATAAAAACCAATACAGATATCTGCTCACAGTAAAGCCTTTTTAGAGTTTCTGGTTTTTAGCTATATACAAAGAAATTACATGAGTTACAGGTATTTTGATAGACGAAATTAAATTGAATTAAACAAACGAAAAAGTTTAAAATCAACTTAAACATAAAAATATTTTCCATAGTAAATCTACAATATTTGTCTTTTTTTTTTTATTTAAACACTCAGATGGTGTCATTAAGTTAAAAATGCTATGTAAATAGTTGCAGAAAAATCAAGTTCCTGACCCCAACAGATGCATTCCAAAAGCAAAGTTTAAAAACAGTAGTGACTGAAGGTATGTATAAATCCTTTTAAGAATCAGTGATTATTTTTTTTTTTTTTTGGCCACCAATATATTTTGATTGATATCTTTGTCCTTTTCTATTTCCAGCTGTTTCACTAAGCCGACTACTATTTAGAAAACCCCCTTTCACACCAACATAAAATTTATTTGAAAATGAAAGGACTAGTTGTCATTTTACAAAAGAAAAATTTTCTAAAATATCTTTAAATGTCAGAATTCATTTTTAATCTAAATTTGATAAAGCAAAATCCACTTCATCAACAAATAGAAATTTTAAAGCTGGTTGTATTTGTTTTGAAAAATATTACAAAAAATAATTCTTGTGCATTCAGTTAACATTTTACAAAAAATTGGTAAGAGCATACTTATTTATGGGCGATATCTTAAAACGGTCTTTAGTATATGAGTCATGACTTTCTAAGACATAAAAAAATGTTCGGTCTTTAATTTTCATTAAAAGACGTTGAAATATTCTTACACATTACAATTCTTATTAAGACTTTTCCCTTTTTTATATTTAAAATGAAAATTTCTTATTTTTCTTATATAAAAGAATATAATAAAAGCCAAACATACAAACACAAAATAGAGACCAATCTACATGTACAAACATAAAATAGGTAAAATAAAAATAGAATAAAAAGTACTCTGACTAAACTTCAATTTGATATACTCTTTACACAAAAGTTTATAATCATCTGAACCCTTATTTTTCAACACTGTGTAATAGTCAATCTTTTATGTGAAGATAGCTGTAAATTATCAACTGCTCTTGACTTTTAAGTCAATTTTTGTTGCTTCCTGCCTTGTTCTTATACAATAGACATGTCAAACTGGGTTTATTCAAATCAATGCATAGTATAATTATCATCATCATCATCGTATTAAGTTATATCTGATATTGTACTATGTTATACTTGCTACCATCAATTGTACACATTCTCAACATAATGTACTATATTTGATGCACATTATCTAATATGCATTAATTGTAGTTGTATTTTTAATTGTCAATGTCTTACAGGATTGATAAATCTAGAAAGGATATTGTAAATGATCCCACTCTAGCCAAGTAGGCTTTTCGATTTCTAGGTTCTGTCAATATTTGCTCATCATTGGAATCAGTTGACGGCAGATCTGTAAGCTCTCTAAAAATAAAAAAAGCATGACAAATTAGATGGTGAAAAATGTGATAGCCATATAAAGTATACAAAATATATGCATAAAAATATTAAAGGATTTTTTATCTTTATAAATACTAATGAGGCTTACTTATTTTTTTAAAGTTTTTAACGTTAAATATTCAAAAAGAAAAAATTGGAAAATTCCAATTCTGTCTTGTCTTCAGTACTATTTATACAATTCCCATGAACAATAGCGATGTTTATTAACGCTAGCCCAATCTGGGACAAGGCTACAATTGTTGGGTAAATGAGAATCAAACTCAATACAAATAGCTTGCTATATTTCTTTTTATGAAAATACATTACTTTTATATTTGTTATTTATAAGTTCAGAGTCTGTCTATATTTCTGAGATGAGGTATTATGTACATAATTCGGACTATTGTCCTCATCTTTGTCACCATATTTATCACAACGTTTCGGCCATTGTACGCTCCGACCTTCTTCAGGTGGTTGGAATTTCAAACGGAACACTTTATTTTGCTCACTGGGGTAGACTGTTCTAGTTCCACGTACCATGTTTGATGGATGTCAGTTATCAGTTATCTCCTGCTAATTTCCCTCTGAAAGTTCTCCACTGCCTTAACCGGGTATTGAACTCACACTCTTTGGGTCCTGTCACTGGATCTAATCAACGCCTTTATCCACTGTGCCTTGAGGACATCTGGATATGAATTTCTGGGTATGATAAACCTAATGTCTTCAGCAACCATTTTTACCAGTGCTCATATTGCAATTTTGCTGTTATCATTGCTTTTCTCTGGCACTCTTTATTACTGGTTCCCATATTGTATTTATTTCTATGCTTAGTTGGCTCAGGAGATTTTTGTGGCCTAGCATATGTATGTGCTGATTCCTTGAGTTTACGAATTTTTCAATGGTGTTCCTTGTCTATGATCTCAACATGATCCCACAGAGGGCGGTGATCTCCCTTCTCTCTCCATATGTGGTCAGCCACACCTGATTTTCTACAGCTTTCTGGTGTTCTTGTAGCCTGTCTCTCCTTTATATTCTTTTCTACAGCTGCACAGGATAGCGTACAGTCTTTAGTCATGTTCTCCTCTATGGGGGGTCTCACTCGGGAGAGATATCTGCGAAATGTTGTCAAGCTATTGAAGGTTGTCCTGATGTTATATGGACCGCAGATCCTTTGTATTTTCTCTGATAACCCCTTCACATAAGGCAGGCAGACTGTTTTCTGAGTGTTGTTGTCCTCCTCCCCTTGTACCCGCCTATCCTAGTTTTGGGGGGCTGCTGCCATGTACCCAGGGTAGTTGTTACGTTGTAGGGTACTACTTATACTGACCAATTCTTTATCTAATGTCTCTGGGTCGCAACTTAATGACTTTTGCTCAGTGTTGTAAGCAACGGACGATCCCTTTCTTTACGCTGTATGGATGGTGGGAGTTGAAATTGAGGTACTGTCTGGTGAATGTCGGTTTACGATATACATATGTCTTAAACCCATGCTCTGTTCGAGATATTAGAACATCCAGGAATGGGAGCGTGTTGTTACTCTCTTTCTCCATTGCGAACTGTATCGAAGGTCTTATTGAGTTCACATGGTCCAGTAGAACCTGAACATCTTCCTGGTGTGGCCAGAGTATGAAGGTGTCATCTATGTACCTTAACCATATAGTTGGCTTTAGAGATATAGTTTCTAATGCCATTTCCTCAAAGTATTCCATGTATATATTCGCCATTGCTAAGCTCTCATCCCATCGATATATGTGTGATCCCATTCCGAAGTATGTTGTTTGTGTACAGAAAGTCAACATCTCCATCAGATTATCTATTGGAATACTAGTCCGTTTTTCTAAGGAAGAGTCAGAGGCCAATTTGTCTCTGACTACTGAGAGTGCCTCCTCCATGGGTACCTTGGTGAACAAACTCACCACGTCCAAGCTCACCATCTGGTTAGATAGGATGGGAGCATCTTTGATTATTTCCATGAAGTGGGCGGAGTTTTGGACATATGAAGGAGACTTTCCGATCAATGGGTCAATTATATCTACAAGGAAGCGACTCGGAGGGTGGCACACAGAGCCTTGGCAACTAACAATCGGCCTGAGCAGAATACTGTCTTTGTGAATCTTAGGGAGACCGTATATGTGAGGTAGCTTGGTGTAACGCTGCGATAACTGCCTATACGTCTTAGGTGTGAAGTGATCCTTGTTCTTGATTAGGATCTGTGACAGTTTGCGTTCCTTTTCATAGTAGGATCCTTTTTCACTTTGCTGTAACTACCATTGCTAATGAGGTCTTCCAGTTTTCTTGTATAATCTGATTTGTCCATCACTACAGTCGCATTACCTTTGTCCGCCAGTAGTATGATGATGTTTTCGTTCCACTGTAGGGATCCAACCGCCCCCCCCTCCAGTTTTGTTATGTTAGACCTGGGTGGCTTGGCTCTCTCCAAGGTCTGTCTTACTTTCCATCTCAGTTCATCCGCCTGAGGGATGTTCAAGGCCACCTCCTCGACTCTGGTAATGATGTCCAAGTATGGTTGTGCCGAAGTTGAGACCCATATTCAATACTGACTCATCAGAGGCACTCAGCTGATATTGGCTGATGTTGACTACTGCTTTCACTGGTGGGTGATGGATCTTGTGCGTCACCTTCTGATCTTTTAATCTATTTAATTTTTGCACTTGGCGAGCCTTGACTACATCAAATTCGTGTCTGAAGGATTTATCCAGGTCATTTTGGATCCTTTTAGCAGGAGATAACTGATAACTGACATCCATCAAACATGGCACTTGGAACTAGAACAGTCTACCCCAGTGAGCGAAATAAAGGGTTCAGTTTGAAATTCCAACGACCTGAAGAAGGCTGGAGTGTACAATGGCCGAAACGTGATAAATATGGCGACAAAGATGAGGACAATAGTCCGAATAATGTAAATAATGTAATAATAAGTTATTAAAAAGTGTATTAGATATGAAACGATCAATTTTTTTAAAGTATAAAATTACTAATATAAATCCAGTAATAAAATTAGTAAACAAATAAAAAAAAAAAATAAGTTCTATATTATTTTCAGTATAAAAGATGTACATCAATCTTCAAAAAGAAAGAAAAGCAGATCATTGCAGATAGGCTTCTTTCTCAAGACTCAAGTGTATAACATCATAATGCATCATACAAATTTAACCAATGATTTGAGAAGATAAATTCCTGATGTTTATGACATTCGCAGTCATTCAAATTCTTTACTCATCCTCTCCAAACTAAGTGGTGTTAACTTTCATTCTCAGAGATGCACAGGCCTGAAGCTAAGATTAAAAGAATAAAAATCAAAAAACAACAGGACTATCTATTCTTGATTGTTTCTAAGACAAGAGAAACCCCAAATTATAAAACTACAGCAGAACAGTGTTCGCATTACATCAGGGTGATTTTTAATAGTAAAACCATTTTTTTCTCAACCTCTTCATAAAGTTGGTTCCTTACAGGAAAAGGGTTTGACAAAAGATTGCATTTATATCAAAATGGAAAAGTATATAAGGAGGAAAATTTCATCTTTAATTTAGAATAAAGTCACATAAGGAAGCCATAGCCAAATGGGATGTTTAAAAAATCTAGTATTGTAGACTATATCTAGAGAAAGAGAGAACAACATACATTGCTACTGTTGGAATGGGGCCCAGATAACTGACAACTGAGTGTGAGAATTTTTTAAAAAGCAACATATCACCATTGAAACAAAAACTCATAGAATTTGGAGTATCTGATAATTTATTATTACTTTCAAACAGATTACATTCAAAACACAAAGTGTTCTGAATATTTTCTTTATTCCATGATCCAGATATAGTCAACAGAATTATTTGTCCCAATAATCATCACTGAAGACACTCTTGAATGATAGATATGGATTTTTGGAACTGATATTCCCATACAATTCAAAATCTTTGAAAAATCTGAGTAAAATAATGGTGTTTATTTACTTATGTCAAGTATTTTGTTTTTCATGTAAAATTGGAAATCATTTGCTTTTGTGTTAGAAAATTGAAACTGTTAACATCATATTTCTGAGAAAAAAAATGCTTATAAATATTTTTTATTAAAAATTAATTATAATGGGTGGGTGTAAAGGTTTTTTGTGTAATGTAGGGAGAAGATAGTAGCAAAGGAAAATAGATCTGATAAGTCATGTGTAAAGTTAGACTTTTTTAAGCCAAGTAGAAGATAATTATTTTGCAGATTTATTTAACTAAGTATTCCAAACTAAAATTTTATTTTCAATATAGCTAAAAACTTAATAGACAGAGTGTGTGACAAAACATAAAAAATTATACTGAATTTATGTTGTTAGCTGAATTAGCAATGAAGTTATGACCCTTCAAAATTCTGCCTTGTGTGCTATTGAGTCAGAAGCCTATTTTAACATTGTGTAACTGAAGATGCAGACTTTAGAATAGTTAAAAATCATTATAAATGTTATATCATATAGTCTTAAAATATAATATTGATGGAATCAATTATTATTAGATCCAACCAGCCTAAACATTTGAAGAAAATTGTGTTCTCAAAAACAAAAAAATGAAACAAGGGCAATTCTGACTGCTCCTATAAGTTTCATTTCAACAATTAATGCCTTGCAACTTCTTACTATGATTCATAACACAGGAATGTAGCTCATTTTTTCAGTAGTATCATAAAAAAAAAACCAAAAAAAAACATTTTTACACCATGTAAAAACAACCAGAAGTGCATTTGGACAAAAACAAGTCAAAAGTATAACATTCTGAACTTGCCATAAAAATGTATCCATTGGAGGTACATGCCTAAACCTTCGAAACTTTATTAAAACTAAAAACTTTGGGAAATTATACAATTTTTAATTTGTCAAAACTTAGAAATTTGTTTCATGAGATGAATCATTGGGCAGTCCTTCAAACAAATGCATATTATAAAGCTTTAAACTCATTTATTTTCAAACTAAAGACACTAAAATAAATAAAAATACATTTATTGGAACTGATGTAAAAGACTTTCTGGACAGTTGGAATGGTACAGAAATGCATTTTCTCTTCTAATGGTGGTTTGAATTTGTTTACAAGCATCTGCTATAGCCAATACTTCAGGAACAAGCTATATCCTATCATCATTGGAATTATTTGTAGTATTATATCAAAGTCCCATCTAAAGATAAATGTTAATGCCAGCTGTGAAACATCATCCAACAATGGCTACAAAAAAAATCACTTCTGCCTTTGGTTGGAACTAAAATTTTGTCGACAGCACTGCACTGAGATGGAATATCAATGAAATGTAAAAGTTGGAGTAATAGTATGTTGCAACCCATTGGCCTTGGGGCCCATAACTGAAGGTCAATTGAAGTGGCTCCTCTTAAATGTTAGAGTTGTTTGAATACTCAGGCTCGATAAGTGCCTTTCCTTTGTTCTTTTAGAAGTGGAGATGAAGTTCCATTAAAAGTAGGTACCTCCATGAGATCACTAAAAAAAGAGTATAGCATGATGAAAAAGACGCCAAACTTGACAGAAAAAAAATGTTATCATCTCAATACTTATGTTATTATTAAGAGGAAAGATCAAAGTTTATTTTAATTATTTTTAAAAATTTTTCCTTTTTAGGACATCCTAAATTATGATTAAAAAAAACTTGTTTCTCTTTGTATCACCAGAACTAGTAAAATAACAGACAATTTTTAGCACATTTTTTTTGTATTAATTTGGAAAATCTTGCAAAAATAAAAATAATTGTCAGATGTTAATGAAACTTTCAGAAACTATTCACAGATGGTCAAAAAATTATCCTCACGGAATCCATCAATATGTCATTCATCACCTGTTAAGTGAGGTGAAAGTTTATGACCTGGTTTGTTTTATTTTCAAATTACATCTTTTCAGTGCAGAAGCTAAGTTAAGCTTGGTTCAAAATATTTTAAATAAACATAATTTCTGATTTTCTTAAAATAAGTTTTTGAAAAAATGATAATTGATATTTAAAAGAATTTCAAAGTGAAATTTTCATTTTTTTTATAAAATGGAAAAAAAAAATGGTTGCCATCTGTCAATTTTGCTGACTCAAAAAAAAAAAAAAACAAGATTTTTAACGAAAATTTTGGACGTGCTAGGAATGATTAAAAAATGTAAAAAAAATACCCCCAAAATACTTTGATCTTTCCTCTTAATAATATTTAGATGATAAAATTTAAATTGCTCTCAAGGAAATTTATGAGTATTAACCCCTTAAGAACAATTTACTTGCTTAAAGAACATTTAGGCACTCAGAGAAATATTTTGAGCAAGCCTTTATATGAACACATGTTCTTCCTTTAAGTTAAAGGAATTTTCTTCTCCCTTTCTTTCTCTCATATTTTGTGTATTTCCCTTTACCTTTTTTTTGTGTATATAAATAAACATTTTCTTCTTCTATTGTTACACCCCAAGCAGGAATTTGAGTCTTTATTCTTCCAACTAAAAGAGAGAATTATCTGCACTAAACTTTCAAGCCACTGTTGTCTTTATTGATTCTGTCACCTTTAACCATAAACCTTTCATGTAGGAAAACTGCAACAAATTTCTCACAATCCATATCAGATGGACTATCAAGACAGGGGATGAAAGTTCAAATCACACAGGCTACTTATTTTTAAAAATGTCACTGTCATGTGGTAAAAAGCAACAATGTGATAAAAAAAAAGTAAAAAATTAATAAACATATTAACAAAGGAAAAAGTAGAACTGGAAGTGTCAAAATTCGTCTCATTAATTTAAGAAATTCAGACAACTAGAGTCATTATTTTTATTTACACTATTTAATGAAGACTATTGTCTTCATTTTTTTTTTTCACTATGTTTTGGCCGTTAGGCCTCCATCAGGTGTATGTCAATCCAAATAACCTACAGTGAATTTTGAAGTGAGCCCTTTATTTAATCTTTGTGGTGGTGGGGGTAGTCAATTGTTCTTGTTCCACTGTCCATATCTAGGGATATCTCATTTAATTCTTATTTTAGTACTGCCCAGTTATTGTTTGACCTGTTTTCACCGAGTCCAAGTACACACAGCCCGGCCCAAGGATTGAACTCGTAATTACTAGGTTACCAAATCCATGAACCAGTTCTGTAGAGCTACACCCTAAAAGTAAGACTGAAGAAACATTGAAAAGCTATAATGAGGGAAGAAACAATGAAATCAAGCATTGCTGAACATGTGTGAAGGGAAAAGATTAGCCACTGTGAAATGAAAATAGATGAAAATGGATTTGTGAATTTTTTTTTGATTTTTAGAATTTTTAATTACAAATTTTGATTTCATGCTTTTATTAAAGTTTAAAAATGGATTAACTGAAATTAAAGTTAAATTCTCTTATAAATTATATCAAGAAAAAAAATTATATTACTATTAGCTATAAATTTTGCAATATTCAAATGGCTATAACAATAAAAGTTTTAAAAATGGGTGTTTCCTCCAGCAAATAAAAAAAAATGAATAGTTTATATGACAGAAATGAAAAAAAACTTTGAATTGTCCTGGCAAATAAATAAAAAACTAATTTTGATACTCCCAATTGTAATTTTTCCTTTGTTATCTTGACTCACTGGTTCCTCTTCTTTTTCTTTAGGCAACTATTTTTCTCCTCCAATTCATACAAGCAAGAAAATATTTTATAAATGAAGAAAATCCATTTTGTCCAGCAAAAACTTTCTATTCATGACAGAATCATCCTTACAAGGCCTATTAAGAATAGGAAATTTTTTAGTTTTCATGCAATAAAAGAAATATTAAAACCTCAAACTATTTACCTTCTATATCAAAAGTTCAAAACCATGCCTGTGCTGTCTCCCTTCAGGATATGGATGATCATGGCTCTCCACAATGTCTTTTTTTTACTATCTCTCCCAATACCTGTTCTGTCAGGTTTAGTTGATGCTTCCCTCTCTCCATACGACCCGTGAGTGTCAAATTTTCAAAGACCTCTTTTCTTTCGTATGTGTCTCAGTCTCAGATATTTCAACTGTATCTTTCTCATTCTAAGCAACCTATTTGTTTCCATTTTTCTTTAAAACTGGACATCATTATCATTAGTAGTAAATTTAGCTATTTTTTCATCTTGTTGCGTATTAAAATAAATAAAAAATAACAAAAGAAAATGTTTCATAAGCCTTCAAGATTTTTTTTATAACTTTTCTGAATCATAGTTATACACATTTTTGTGATTTGATTGATTAAAAATGATTCATATTTCTTAAATAAGTTAATCTCAATAAGAATGGCTCAAAATACCAATAAAACTTACAATTTACATTATTACAAATTTCGCAAATCATTCTGTTTTATAATTTTCTCTAACATTTACAGTTTTACACATATTTTAAAAAATCCTAATCCCTAACGAGACAGATTTATCGGATTACCAAGGAGGAAAGAAAGACAGAGGAGAAATCCAATGCTTTCTCAAATAAAAGATTATATTTAGGAATCTATAATCAAATCTGCAAAAGGTAAAGATGGTGGAAGAGATCAAAATTACTAAAATGGAGATATTTTAAAATAATATTCGGGATACAAGGGAGATTAATAAGCTAGTTTACTTTCGAAAAGAGAAATTTTCAACAGAAAAGATCAATCGTTTAAAAATGTTTCGGAGTTATTTCCCCGTTTGTTTAGAAGAGCGTAAAATGAAAACTTAACGTTAGTTTTTTTTTAACGGAAATTTTTCTATAAACATAAAACGCTTACGCTACGTTTTTAAATAAAAACAAAAAACGCATCAATTAAAAAAAAAAGTTAAACATTTTAAGTGCGCCAATTAACAAGATTTAAAAACACGTGTATAAATCAGTAAGTTATCCCATAATTTTCTATTAAAAGTAAAGAAAGACTAAGAAAGAGAAAGTTTTGTGAAGATGGCTTCCTAGGAAGTGAAAAAGCTGTTATATATGATGAAGAAAAACAGAAGATACTCTTTAAGTATCTTCTGTTTTTGATACCTGATTAGATAAACATATCGTGACGTCGACGGGACAGAAATAAATCAAACCCATCACGTTAAAATAAAACAAAGTGGGATGTTTGAACGCGAGTTTCTGTTATCAAAATAAACAGAAAAACAGCGTAAGTAAAGAGAGAAAAGAACAATTTCTCTTCCTTGTTTTCTCACTCCCCTACTCTCTTTGTTTTTATCTGGTACAAAACAATTTAAGAGAAATATTACTTATGGCTTGAAATTCGTCTATCAGGCTAATGAATTAACAATAGTGTAAATATTTTTGTATTTATGAACAAATTAGAAAAAACAGTTTTGTTTTGAATTGCTTCTCTAGTCTTTTTCGTTCAAACAAAAGTCGTGACAATTCAAAACACTAAAAAAAAACAGATATTGTCCCATTTTTTGGAGGGAGACTATTACATTGGAAACCTAAAGAAATTGTACGCTACAAAGACCACGATACCGTGACAATAAAGTTAACCAGAACTTTAAAAAGACAACTTACCCTATTTTGGGCACTTTGTCGCAATCTTTTAAGATAAACGAAGACAAAATTCCTTTAACGTGCTCCGAGTCAACCGTCTTGTACGCCATTTTCATCAATTCGTAACTGATCTTTCTGATTGGTCGAATGAACCGGACATAGGTTGTTATCGACAGCCAGCCGGATATAATATTCCAGTCAACGAAGATTGTTTACAATTACATGTATATCATTAAGGCAAGGAAAACAAATATCAAAGTTGCATATAAAACAATTTCACGCTAAACTGTTAATCTTTTGTCTCCTATCATAATTTGTATGTACTCTTATGCAAACAAATGTTTCTTTTTGTTCTTATTTTTTTTATACAGTTCAATGTATGAGTAGTACAGTTAGAGGGGGAGCCATTTGGCCTCACACCGGTCTGGCACCTTATTTTATTCTCTACTAATGGCAACAAGACAGAAGTTATGGCAGAAAGCAGTGTAGGGTTTCCCCTATTGAAAGTACATACGATTTCCGCCAGGAAACCTCTCGGTAAGCTGTCTTTGATTTATATAAAATAACGTGTCGTATATCTTTCAAATAATCTGTAAAAAGATTGCGGGGTTATGTCATTTTATTTGTAAGATTATCTGAATCTAAACTCCGCTCTAACAGTAACAAACTTATTTTGTCATTTCTTTCTTCATTCATTGTTTCTTTATAAATATTTACTTACTTATGCTAATTTTCTTAACATTTTAATTTGGCAGGATTAATTAATCAGGTTCGTTCGAGTTTATTTATTACTTTTTAATTGTGCAACAGTTGTCACTCTGTCATTGAATAAGTAGAATTTTTAATCTCGTCTGTTTCAATTAATGTGCCATTGTTATTGATTGTTGTGAATATGTTTGTTTATTTATTTTGCAATTAAGTTTACTTAATTAAAAGTTGTTGCTAAAAATATGTTACTTTTTCTGTTTGTTGAGTGTATGCTTTTTTTTTTCTTTCAACTCGATTTTTTAATCGATCATTCATTGACATTTAAAAAAAAATTCTATGCACACTCAATACTTTCTACAAGCAACTTTGACTATTTTTTAAAAAAAAAATACTTTTCTTTCCCTTAGTACCTCTCTAAAATACAATAAAAAGTAACCCGCAAAACAGAAACAGCGTCAAAATTATTAATTAACTCTTAAAGTTTTAAAACATAAGGTTACCTTTAAACTGCGCCACACAAAAATTAAAATATGAACGAAAAAAAAAATGATGATAAATTTTATTCCAAACCCAAATTATACATTAAGCTCCCGTTAATAATTTGGAAATGCCTTTCTTTATTTTTTTTTTTTTTTTTTTACTTTCGAAATCAATAAGGACGATTTTTCACGAAAGATCTAACGCAAAATTTCACTAAGATCAATCAATATCATTGATTCATTAATCTTTTCTTTTTTTTTAAGAATTTTAATGTTTTCTTTTTTTTTTTTTTAAAAAAAAAAAAGAAAAAAAAGTGTAGTGTAAAATTTGATGTCTTAAGAAAAACTCTTTTCCTGCGACAAATTTATGATTTTTTTTTTTTTTTTTTACATCGAACGTATTTTTAGAAAATTACTATTGTTCGACTTCAATGAACATATTTCACTAAATTTTACGTGGACCATAATGAACAAATTTTATGACCGTTTTTAAGACCTGTTTAAAAAAAAAAAAATAAATGAAATAAATTTTTAAAACTAGTGACTTCTTGTGGTGGTTGAGTTTGTCTCCGGCGCGGAAAGTTGAAAACTTGATTGAATCATATTTTTATTTATTTATTTTTTTTTTTCTTACCTATCTTTGTCTTGCTGATAATTCTCAAAATGTATTGAATAGGCATGGATCGTCAAAGACTTATCCAGGTTTGAATTTAAAAAAACAAAACAAAAAAACTGTTTCATTACATAACTAACTGGTTTTTGAGTAGCAAGATGATAAGCAAGATCGTCTTGAGGATCATTATTCAAATTTGTAGCTTTTGTAATGTAATGAGTTCGCTCCTCGCTATTGTGACTTTGGTGCCAAACAAAGCAAAATCCTATGATGCCTTATCACTGAGAATTATTTATTTTTTTTGGCGAGTTTGCTTCCTCCATCGTTTATGTACTTTGAGACTACTAAACTACTGTTTGTTTTTATTTAATTTAAAGAACTACACTGAATTGTGAAATTGTATTCTTCGTTTCTTTGTGAATTCTAATGTGCTTTTTCTCTTCTCACTTGTTTTCTCTCTCTCGATATATATATAGATTATAGAATGTCCTTAATACATTCATCTGGATATGAGTATGATCTTAATTCTAAATTAACTTTAGAAGACAGTGTTCAGTTTAGAAATCAAATGTTTTTTTAAAAAAGAATTTCCAAAAAATAAATAAAAAATGGTAAAAGACAAAAAACAATTTGATTTTAAATAATTTTTTTTCTACTAGACATTATGAAATTACCTCTGAAAATAACACATCAGGCACTAGCTATGAAGTAACCGGAACCCTATTTTTATCTTAAGAGTACAATGCATCACTTCCATCCGTAAACACTAACAGGAATGTTAACTTGTTATTAATAAAACTGTTTTAAAAACAACCCAGTTATCATGCCTTCATAATTCATCCTAGAATAAAATATTATCTGTAATTAAATATACAAAACTGACACCAGAGCTGGATTTAGAGAGGCTGAAGCATATTCCACTTCTGAGGCCCCTCCAAATCTCCTATTCTCATGAATAAAGGAAAATGGAAGAGTTAAACAATTTTAGTAAAGCCAAGGATGATGCCAGATGTTTAAAATTCTATAGTTGACAATTCCTCTTCTAAAGGACAAGATTTTTTTGCTAAATACAGTACATGATTGAAAAAAATGCATGAATGTTAAAATTTTAAAAAAATTTATAAAGAAATCAATGCTAGTATCGAGTTACCAGCTTGAGACAGAATTATTCTGAAATGGAATGTAAGGAACATTACTGAAGGGTTGTTTAGAGTCTACAATGCATTATGACAGCATGTGTAAGAAAAGCTTATGACAGTGTCAAAAATATTATTCACCTTGACTGGACGCTCCCTAGGTTTTGAGTAAATCTGGCACAGATTGATGACATTGTTGATGAACAAGAGTAGAGTTTTTAGTTATTTTCCTCTGTTCAATGCAGAATGGAAACTTAATTATATACAGTGTTACAAAACACTGCACTTAGTTTTTCTTAGTACATATTTCTATATCAGTTCAAGAGCAGTTTCACTAACAATTGATAATGACATACTTAATTTATTACCTTCTGATAACATACATCCTGAAGCAACCTTTTTTTTTTTTTTTTTCCTTTTACAATGACGTTCACTCTGTAGAAAGTCCAAGAACTGCTTTAGGTAGAGGGATACAGAGTAAGAGGCAAAGTTTATAGAGACATATGGGAAAGATAACTGTTAACCCTAGACATAAACAGGCCAAGATTGTAGTGGCCAGAGAAGCATCTTCTTGGAAGTTGGTTCCACAAAGCAACTGTCCATGGGAAGAAGCTGCTTGAGTGGAACATATATTACCAATGGAATATGAAGAGAATAGGGGTGGTTCGTCTGAACACTTTTCATGGAAATAGTGAGAGGCTTACAATGTTTTGTCTGTGAGTGGGAAAAGAGTTGTAGGTTGGGAAATAATTTGTCACCCAGAGATGCTTATGGGCTCTGTGAAGACTCTGAAGCTCTTGCCCATATAAAATACAGTAACCAACTGCCTTCAAAGCATAAAAACAATTGTCCTTTTAAAATGTTTCAAAAAGCTTTGATGACCAGTAAACTTACAATTCTCTTAAAAATCCAAATTTTGCAAGATGGAGTTTTAAGAGCAATTGTGATTATCATACAGAATATTGTTAATAAAATTTATAGCCTTTTTTTATAAGATAGTAAATGCCGTTTGATTTTATTCTGTTTTTGTCTATTGCATATTTTACCTATTTAAACATGTCAATGTAATTGATGCTGCTCAAAAAAATAAATAGGTTTTTAAGTCATTATACAATAATTATATCTTAACTAGGACTAGTTTTCTGAACTGGAACCATTCTTTTAATGAAATTTTATTTTTTTTAATTATAATGTCAAAACAACATATGTGCTATGCAGTGGGTTTTTTTTTTTTTTAATGCTAGTACTTCCTTTAGATGTAAAAACTTCTTTTTTTGATTCAATTGCTTCAAAAACTCTTTGATTTTATCTTTTTAGTTAGACATCTTACCAATTGTTAACAGTGATATCGTTAATTTGCATAGATTTTATAAGAATATATTTTAGTCTTTCTACCATTAAAATACTTAGTTTTTTGATGTGTTGACAAGAATAATAACCTTCATTTTATTTATATATATATATATATATATATATATATATATATATATATATATATATATTCCATTTTTACTTTACATAAGGAGGTGCTGCATAGTATTTAGCCCAATTCATTTCTCATTAGGCTGAGAACTTTTCAGCACCTCCTTGTCCTCTACTGTGCAAGTTGTCAGACTATTTGGCTTTATTGGAATCACCCAGACAGCAAAAGCCCTTCTGGAAAAAGTTCCAAAATGGTGTACAGGTTTCAGATTATGAGTAAGGACAATCATATACAATAATGTATATGTGATGTTTCCAAAGGATACAAAGTTGACATTCACATTATTCAGACTGTTGTCCTCATCTTTGTTGTCATATTTATCACAACATTTCGGTCATTGTATGCTCTGGCCTTCTTCAGGTGATTGGAATGTCGAACTAAACGCTTTATTTCGTTCACTGGGTAGACTGTTCTTGTGCCATGTCTAATTGATGTCAGTTATCAGTTCTCCCGTTAATTCACCTCTCCAAGTTCTCCACTGCCTTACCCAGGTATTGAACTCACAACTCTTTAGGTCCTGTCACTGGATCTAACCAACACCTTTATACACTCTGCCATGTGTCCTTAAGAATTTTACTATTTTAGTTGCATTAAAATGTCTATATGTACATAATCTGATAAGTGTGTTTGAGCATAATTAAAGCATCAGGAACTACTACTTCATGGATAAGTGTATGTAACATGGGCAGATCAGCTGAAAATCAGCAGATGATGCGACATGGCTTATTTGTTATTGCAATGTCTGTTCTCTATTTATTAAACACAAGGAGAGAAAAAAATTAAGTACTAATTCTTGCAATCCAAGTACTGGTCAAGATCCTGAATTGCTTATAAAGAAAAAGAAAAAATCCTGTGTACTAATAAGCTTTGTTACTCTTCACCTTCGAAACCATAGGATTGTTACTCTCTTTTTTTTTTTTTTTTAATGCTTATTTGCCATTTAAAAAAAAAAAAAAAAAAAAACACACACTTTTGGTATCCCCTATTTTTCAAGAATGTTACCTTCTAAATTGTGATGTGGTTAGAGCTATTTATTTTATCAAAATTCACATTAGATACGCCTTTTTTTTTTTTTTTTCTCCAGCTAATGAAGATGTTAATATACCTTCAGAAAGAAGTGGGCATCGTATTGTTGCTACAGACAACTGTATCTATGCTATTGGGGGATATAATCCCGATTACACAGAACTTTTTGATGAGGTAAGCATTTCTCCCTACTCTCATTCCTTTGTATAAAAATGTTTTATAAATATTTAAAATTTTCTAAAATTGCAACAATTTTATTAAGGTTTTTTTTTTTTTTTTTTTTTTCCTTTTCTTTGCTTAAAATTGTGTAATTTCAACTACAAGTTGCACTCTTCATAAGGCCTACTTGAATCGTTGCATATTTCCCACCAATGATGTTTGAAGCCAGCATTTTGAATGTTGGTTTCCAAGGCAGATCTTTACTATTTGAAACATAATCTATATGCAACATAATCTTCCCACCCTCATTTATTTTCCTCTCATCTAGCTATGCTTAATACCTATGACTTCAGAGTTGAGACAGTTGCTTATTGTTTTTTTTGGCTTCTTCATCCAATACGAAACTGAGTGAACAAAAAAAGAAAGAAAAAAGCTTACTTTGACTGAAGAAACCTCACATTTATTTGTAGTATGTGATTTACACCAGGAAATATCAGAGGTCTGAATGTTCATCGGGAACCTTGATCTAAGAAGACTTTATCTGTATGGAGTTCACTTTAACAGATACCAGAGTAAACTTTATACTCAGTGTCACTGCAAGAAACCAAAAGACTTGTTCATAAAACAAATAAAGACTAATTCTTGCAGATTAGCACTCATTAGACCTTCCTGATGGTATGACATCAATAAAGTAAGTTTTGGGATATCATGTTGTAATTTGAACACAATATATAAGTAACAAAAGCATCAATACATGCTATATTTCAGAACTCTCACTAAAAAAAAATCTTTCCTGTGAGTCAGTAAACCTAAAGCACTGCAAAATATTTATCAATTCAAAGTATCATCAATACCGGGTACAAGATCACAGATGTGGGTCACTCAGGTTGACTTGCTACAGATGTAGCAGCTTGCAAGTACTATAGATGGGTACTCGTAAATTGGTGTTATCAATAAACTGATTTGTGATATTCAAACTTGCGTTGAAATAAGCTCCAATCTATTTCAGGTCTGGTGTTTCAATGTAGCCACACGGACATGGACAAAGCTAAACACCAAAGGAAGCCAACCAAAGCAAGTTGCTTCACATTCAAGTTAGTTTTTACTTTTTGGTCTTTGTAAAATTCTTTTTCTTTTTTTCTTTTTTTTCCTCCAAGTTTTCATTAAAAAAATTATTCCATCATATTGGTAATTCTCAAAATGGAAAAGTCATGGATGTTTTCAGAAAACAAGCCTCAATATGAAACTGTTTTTCAAGATTTTTTTTTTTTAATACAGAAAAATATATCCACTGACAACTTTTTGATTAGTTATAAATCCAGCACTGAAAAATAACACTGCAACTTGCATTTTTAGGCAGGGATTGTGTCTTAGCAGCTTCACTGCCTTTCGTGGTTTGAAATTGATTTAAAAAAAAAATGTGTGTTTATGTGAAAGGCCAAACTAATTTACTTTGACTTGAAGAATGACCATAGATTTTTAAACAGATTTTGATTGTTGTCCAAATAAATTAATATCTCATTAATAATGGCCATTATGCATTTTGTTTATCACTTAATAATGGTTATGGTGAAATGAACTATTTCTATAGATAAAACATTTAGCATTCATTGCTTGAACAATTAGTGTTACTTTTGGATTAAATTTATAAAATCTTTTCATTTTTAATGTTTTTGCAGGGAATTAGTCTTGTTATGGCCATATCTCATTGAGACACTGGTTCTCATCCAATCACTTAAGTTAAGCAACATTGAGCCTGGTCAGTACCTAGATGGGTGACCACTTAGAAATAACATGTGCTTTAAGCTTGGATGTACATATGGTCTGATGGGTAATAGCTCAGAATGAGAAATAGAGCCAAGTTCAAATTCCAGTTGAGTTTGTTATATTCACTTATGCTCAGATATCCTTGGGAAAGGTATGAATCCATCTCTTCTCCCCCGCCCCCAAGCTATAGACTAAATAGCAGGGCAAACTGGATTCTATAGTCTTGGTTAGCAACCAGGCTACCATAGAAACTGCAGCATACTGCAGGAATTCTTCTGCCAAGTCAGTCTTGAATAAAAATGGGACATGATAGCCCAGGCATGCATCACATATGGCACCTAAGGAAAGATGACTTGTCAAGTACACTATTATAGCTCTTTCTAGTATTGGTGGGAGCTTCCTTCCAAACCATTTGTTTTTTTGTTTTTTTTGTTTTTTTTTTTTTTTTTGTTTTTTTGTTTTTTGTTTTTTTTTTTTTTTGTTTTTTTTTGTTTTTTGTTTTTTTTTTTTTTTTTTTTTTTTTTTTTTTTTTTTTTTTTTTTTTTGTTTTTTTTTTGTTTTTTTTTTTTTTTAACAGTTTGACTATATCATTATTTTCTCTTCCAGTTTCATGTTGTTGTTGTTGTTTGTAAAAAAAAGAAAATGATTAATTTATTTTTTATGGTTTATCAACCCTTAGCAGGTTATTTAAAGCCAGAAAATATTTTTAAGTTGTAATTTTTTTTTTTTTTTTTTTAGATAATGGTTTAGTGATACAAGTCTTACTAATTAACCCATAACTGAGGAAAAAGATGTGGATTCATACCTTTCCCAAGGGTATTTGAATATAATGAACCCAACAGGAATTGGAACTCAGCTCTCTGATTAAGTAAAGGAAATAAAATGGAAGCAAAGAAAGCCAGTTTCTATCATTCTTATCCAAAATACAATTTTCAAACAAAGAAAGTAACTGAAAAATATACTTAAACAAAGGACACATGCTTTCAATTGATTAGCAAGCTAGTCTCACAAGCAAATTCATTCCTCACTGAAATTATTTTGACTTTGTGTCAGAATAAGCTAAGCTTGGTAAATATCTGCTTGAACATAATCATTACTAAGCTGGACATCAAAAATATTAACAAAATCGGATTTATTTTCTTGTTATTCAAACTTTGGGTGTACTTTTTCTAGCTCTATGTTGCCTATTAATAACACTAGCCTTTATTTTTGATCACTGACAAACATTTCTTTGTTATAGATATTAAGTGCTGAAATTTGGTAAAATGAATTTGAGACAAGATATTGAAAATCTTAGTGGCTAAGTAAGTTAGTTTCACTTTTAAGCACTAATTTTCTAGTAAGAGCATGAACAAAGTCTAATAAATATCAAATTTTAATTTTCCCTGTCAATTTGAATCACCCTAATATATAAGTAACAGATTCAAATTCCAGTCAGTTTTGTTACTTTCACTTACACACAAATACTCTTTGGAAAGGTATGAATCCATCTTTTCTCTCTTCAGCTATGGGTTTAATAGCAAGACAGACTAGGTCTTATAATCTTGATTTGCAACCAGTCTACTACAAAAATAAACAGAAACCTACTGCAGAGAAAGTCTTCTGCCTCGTCAGTCATTAATCAAAAAAGACTTGATCAATTTGGGATTTAAGTGACTGACTAATATATAATGTATGCATGAGTACAAGGGGTTGGTGAAAAGTTCTTGATCCTGTCAAGCCTCCTACCAAAATCTGATATTTGGTCAAATTCAGGCCAAAAATATTTTCAGCACCCTCTTGGGTATGTGTATGTATGTATGTAACGTTTGCTCTTTTCTGTCCTTACAGTGTGTCTCTATGGTGACAACATTGTTACATTTGGTGGCTCTGGCTTACCATTTGGTCTGAATAGCAGCAATGATGTCCATCTACTGAATCTCAAAGATGGTCAGTGGCAGCGGATCCATTGTGAGGCTCTTGATAACAATGCAAATAACCTCCCATCAAAAAGATATGGACATGTAAGTGTCTCCTATATTCTTTAAAGTCAGTTAGTTTGAACTTGTGTTAATTTTTATATAATATATATATATAATTTACTGATACATGTTTTACTATTTAACCATGGCTGGAGGAGAGAAGAGGTAGATTCATACTTCTTACATTGGTATTTTTTGTGTATAACTTACCATTTTCTTGTTATATACTTTTTCATATATATATATAAAAAAAATACTTTACATAAGTCTCATAATTAAGAGTGCTCTAACTTTCCAAACCCTCTGAAAGACCATTTTTCTGTGTGGGTTTAATGTACCAGCTGAAATAAACATTTATTTTCATGTTTTTGAACTCCCCTTACTTCCTGTTTTTGTCCTTAAATACCAGACAAGAAACAATTGCAACTCAACACATCACAAGAAGTAACATGTGATAATGTAACTTGATGTCCTTTGATCACATAAGTGCAATTATTATTTTCATGATGAGATGTTAAATGAAAGGCTTTTTGTGAATATTTGTTTTGCATTTTTCCAAACAGACAATGCATATCATCAACCACCACTTGTACATATGTGGAGGGACCCAAGGAATTGACTACATGTTAGATCTGTATCGATTGGATCTTAAAACTAAATCCTGGGAACACATAGCATGTAGAAATCCCCCTGAAGAAAGGTAAGAGTGGAATTTTAATTTGGTCAGAGCTTATATATATATATATATATATATATATATATATAAAAACAAATGAAAACTACAGACAAAAGTTCATTTTCTCCAACAAAAGACATTCATTTCTGTAGTTCACTGCCAACAGCAAGCAGAAATATTTATCCTCCCGATGATGGCCATTTCGGTCGAAACTAGTCGAGGAATCTAAATGGAATAATAATAATAAAAAATTGAAAGAATATTAATCTACAACCCAGTGTGTCTAATGATTTTAATTTTTTATTTTCTTATTGTTCAAAATATATATATTCATTTTCATATATTGTTTCATGCTATATGCAATCGTGGACGGTTGCATATAGCATGAAACAGACTGTCGCCTCTAAGTGTTGACTTTTATGTTCACTTTTATATATATATGCGACAACTCTTAAAGGACTCATGGATTGGTTTAACACTGCTTATATTATGAGCAAGATCCCCTTTTAAAATGATAAAAATTAATACTTTTGATTCTGACAAATATCATGGATAGAGAAAAGTTTAATGCTAATCTACAAAAAATTGTTAAAAATAAATTCACTTTTTTTTTTATATATATATATATATATATATATATATATATATATATATATATATTTTATTTTTTTTTTTTTTTTTTAATAAATGAACCAGTTAATTTAGTGCTTATACTTGAAAATATAAATTCTCTATCTCTGCCAAAACTTGTTTTCTCAAAATTTTAATTTATTTCTGCAATTCTCAAGTAATTAAAACCAGCAATTCAACAATGTACCTATACTCCTTAAAATTTCTTTTGCCACTTAGTGTATTTCCTGACAAATGTTTACAGAATAACCTGAAAAATAATTAGTGCCTTTTATTTAATAAAAATTCTTTCAGGTTCAGTAACTTTGCTTGTTATAACATTAAGTGTTTGCATGCATGTGCCCAAAATTTTTAGCACCCTCTTTTTAAAATCAAGAAACTAGATATACAATTAGTAAGCCTCTTTTACTGGTCAGTGTTCATTTATCCTGTGTTCAGAAATGTCAACAGGCAGTACACTGTAAGATTTTATTATACAAGTAAATATGTACCAATAGAATTGGTATTGTACAACCAATCTGCTTATATTTAAGGATATGATTATATCTATATAATAAATATACCATGTTCTTTTATCCTAAGCTTATGATATTTTATTTTAATTAGAAATATTTAACGTAATTTAGTTGATGGTGTGAGATTTTATTATGCGACTATAGTATTTTCCATCATATTAGAAATAAATACATATAATAGTACAGATATTGGTAATTATTTTTATAATTTCAGATCTCTAAAGATTACCATGTGTCATGAGAAAGTTATAACATCAAAGGGTAAAGATATTGTAAAATTATTGTGATGGGAACACAAAATTGGAAAATGCAAAAAGTTGAACTCGGAACAATAAAAAAAATAGAAAATATTGGCAAGTTAAAAACAAAAGAAAATTTAAGAATGTCATAAAGATTATTTTGGGAAAAAAGTAATAAGCAAGAAAAGTGGATTGATCAGTAAAAAAATATTTGAAAAAGTTCTTATTGTGAATGTAAACCGATAAAAGATTTTTCTTGTTTTTTAATTATTTCACCCCAAGCAAGGCAATAATGCCACATAAGACACAAGGGATTACTGAGAGTGAAAGAAAATTAGAAAACATTAGTGAGGAGAAAGGACAATAAAAGAACAGGGTTTAAGTAGACTGAACATGGTGATTGATGTTGCATATACAGTTTTGAAGATTGTAGTTGGCAGTTAAGCAAGAAGCCAAAAGAGAGTTCCGCAGGCAAAAAGTGTGAGAAAAGAAACTATCAGTATAGAACTTAGTTACATGTACTTACATCAATAGTACAATGATGGAGCCTAGTTGCCAATCTAGTAGTATGCTTAAATTCATGAGGTTGAGGTACCAAAGATAGAAGCTAATTAGAACAATTGCCATGAAAACATTTACAGAAAAGACACAGGGAAGAGACTTCTTTGGATATTGACAAGAATCTCAAGATATATAGTAGGATCAACAGACCTGATGTCACAGCAATATTTAAGGCAAGGATGATTGGTAGATTTATAAACATGAAAGGTGAATTCTGCCAAGAAAAATTGTTGTGACACCGTGAACCAAATTTCCTAGCAGCAAATCTAGTAATTGATTCAATATAATCATTTCACTTCATGATTTTTGTCTTCCATCAAAAGATGGGTGCTACCATCTTAGGAGATCGACTCATTGCATCTTCTCACTATCATGATATCTCAACAGTAATTTTTAATGATAAATGTAAAGCTACATTGAATGAGCCTGGGCTAGATTTTTGTTCCTTCATGGAAATAGTCAAGCAACTCAACAGGAAAAAAAAAAGAAAAACAAGGTGGTGATGGTAGATTAATGTTTTCAGGTAGCAGTCAAAGTACAGGTGTCTCTAAAGTTGATGATAAATGCAGAGAATTGTTGTAAGTTCTTGAACCAGATGTTTTTAAATGGTACAGGTCACAGTCAAGAAGCTTGAAGCTGAAAAGTGTATTCATGCAAAACAATGTTTCTTTAAATTTTGGAAAGTTGACTATTGTTTATCTTGTTGAAAAGGTTTCAAAATTGCTATATTAATAGAATTGCTTCTCCAGCCTTTCCAATTGTAGTCTGTCATTGAAAAGAGATTTATCTGAGAATGGAAACCAATGAAGCAATAAAATTTGCAAATAATACTGATGCCAAAACATTAAAATAAATAAAATCAATGGTTAAAAAAAAAAATGAAGGATATAGAATATCAAAGAGCCAGGTCTAATATGAGTAGATATATTTACCTATTGTCCAGTTCACACTCCTTCCTAGTTTTTTGAATAGGAATAGAGGTTTATCTCTTGGTTTCTGTTTAGGATTGAGTTACTGGTTCCCTCTAAAGTTTACTTCCACATTTCTGACTGAACTTTGAAATGTTATTCACTAACTAAATCTTGACCGCCATCAAGTCTAGAGTTAGCTGTTATCTTTCCTGCATAGTCTCAAGAACTTCACTTCTTGTTCTTTCTTATGCTAATACAAGACCACACAGTAACCCTCTACCTTGAGTGTCACTTGGTCCTTGTATTTGGTGAACATTAATAAAAAGAAAAAATGTAAGAATTTTTTCTTCAGTTATATGGGATCTAATGTTAATGAAATATGCTTCTATGACCTATATATTTTGCATTTATTTATAAATAAATAAAAAAAATATTGTACTTCGGATAAAAAAAAAAAAACTGACACTACCAAAATTAGTCTTTTTTTCAATATTTTTAATAAAGATAAATATTATAAAGTGATGTATATCCTAAAAAATTATCAACAATTTTAAGAAAACATTGACTTGCATAATTAAACAAAAACAGCAGCAGAAACAAAGATGAAGTCTGTGGAGATGGGTTAATTGAAAGCTGTACATATTATGTTAAGTCTACCAAGTTCAAGTGACAATAAACTACATCTGGCAGCAAGGCCTCTGATCTGGAGATTTGAGGCTTTGAGAAGTGTGGATTCACCTCTTAAGTGCATTGTGCCCAGATCCACCCTGGCCTAGGGTGGTAGCACCTGTTAGGGTCCCAACTATGGGCAAATAGTGATTCCCCCCCCAAAAAAAAAAACAAATCAACAGGTCATTTTTATAGTAAAATGACTAAGAATAAATTTTTATAGCAAAATGATAACCAGTGCAATGCTAAAAAAGTATAAATATACATTTTTTATTAAAAAAATTACCAACAATACACTTTTATAGTGAAATTACCAGCAATACATTAAAAAAAATACCAACAATACATTTTATGATCTACAAACTGTATATCTAAAAAAACATACCTTTTTGCCATGAAAGTGTAAAATTATGTACAAAATATTTAGATTTTGGCATTAAATAACCTATAGAGGTTGATATGCTGCTAAACAAAATCAACCAAGTTCAAGAAATGTGATTTTTTTTTATTATTTTTTTTTTTAACTCAGGACAATCATAATTTATAAACTACTAGAATTTAGAAATGATAACTTCCATGCTCATTTGGATGATCGATCGATCGATCACTCACTCACTCTCCATTAGTGTTGAATTTTACTGAAAAATGAGTGTTTGCTATGTATGGGAAAGATTCAACAATTGGGAAAATGGATTCTTCATGAATTCTCAAGGCTAAATATTGGGCAGCATCTTACCACTTTCATTTTGCTTCTTGCCAGACATGAAAAAGACTTATCACTAGAGATGGAAAAAATTAAACCCCACCCCGCAATCAAAAGCCTTGCTGTTATCATACCCAGGACAAGATAATTTTTGTTTTTGTATTGGACCATCATCAACTTTATAGGGACCTATAATTTTACTGCTGACAATACTAGCTCAAAACAATATTTCATCTCCCTTCTGTAATTTTCTTCTTTTTTTTTTTTTTTTTTTTTTTTACTATTTCCATGAAGGACTCAACTTCTAGTCTCACTATCAGGTTCATCCAATGTAACTCTAGATTAATCACTAAAAATTACTACTGAGAAATCCATTTTCATGTACTTCTTCATCTGACTGACTTTTTATACCCATCTCATTAATCCCCCCCCTTTTTATTTATTACCCTTTTAATTTTTTCAGATCTTTTTTTTTTTTTTTTTTTCTTTGGGACATTCTTAAACCAGATGCTTTTTTTCCCTTGTTCTGATGTTGTGAATGTTTTCTATTCCCTTTTTGATTGTTCTTTGATCTCGGCTAAAACTTTTACACAATTTCAAAATTTGTATTCCTGTCACTCAAAATATTTTTCAATATCTTGTTTCTGTTTTGCAGCTATTCCTTTCTTACAATCCATTTCATATCTTTATATATGTGGAAATAAGATTTTTTTTTTTTTTTAACTAAAACTTTACCCACTATAAGATCCTAGACTTGAAGAGGTTAAGAGATCAGGGAATCATCTCCTTGGGAGTCTGTTCCACAAAGTAGCCATTCCCAAAGAAGAAGCTTTCTGACTGGAACTTGCTTCTTACCAATGGAATATGAAGAAAATGAATAATTGGTATACATGGCTTGGTGTGTCCTAGTTGTAATGGTCTGATCTGGTAGAACTAAGAAATGTACTTCAGTTGTGCATTTACCATGGAAATAGTGGTGATAGGCTTGTACAATTCATCACCCACTAGGCTATGTAAACAGTTTTGAACTCTGTCATGTCTGGATAGTGAGTATTGGACAGTTTCAGCCTAGATATGGCAGCAATACTGCATTTTTGGTTTGATCTGAGTTTTGTAAGTTAAATTAAAAGGGCAAATGACTATACTATTATAGATATTTAATTATGATATGATAAACAACCTTCAATTTGCCTAATAAAATCTCACAAGACCAGATTAATTATATTTGTTTCTAATAAAACAAATATTATAAGATAAAATTCATAAACTTTATCTAAATATTTCACCAGTTTTACTGTAAAAACATTGATTTGCTCACTAAACTCTGATATAGTTTACGGCCATATCTTCAATATGAGCTTACTCACTATTAATCTATAACAAATAGATATTTACTCAGCTTATTTCAACTTAAGCTGGAAAAAGAAGTCAGTGGTTAGAAGAATATATTGCTTGAATTTTCCTATTGTGGAAGACTTCTCTCTCTCAAAATCTGCATTCAAAATCGTAGCTTTTACTTGGACCTGAACACAGAACTACCAGAATAGGCTAACGTCTTGGCTACCAATCAGGCCTAAATCTTAGATATAATCTGACACAAGGCTACAACAATAGAGACCTAATAAAAATTGCATTAGCAGTGGTCTGGAAAACTAGTTTGCTACATCGCTACCCAATAAGTGTTCTCAAGAGAACTATAACTTATGCCAAAGAAATAAAAAGATATAATGATGTTTTCTTTCTTTCTAGATACCGACATGAAACTGTCTGTGATGGTAAAAAAATGTATATGTTTGGTGGAGGAGCTGCTAATTCCGTCTTTGATCTCATCAAGGTACAGTTTTCTTTCTTTATCTCCTACAACTAAGTCATGTTGGCATTTTATGAAATTATCCCTCAGAAAAGGTTTTCTGGTTATCTGATTTATAAAGAATCATTTTTGAGCAGTCTTCATCCACTCGTCCTGGGTAAGATGTTAAAGTACATCTGCGTCCAGCAGCAAGGCCTCTGATCAGGAGGTTTTGAGGGGCGTGGTAGCACCTGTTAGGGTCCCAGCTATGAGAAAATAGTTAACTATTACCAGCAATACAATTTTGAAGGAAATATATTACCAGAAACAGACAAAATATTACCAGCAATAAAAATTTATGTCAGCATTAAATAACCCATTGAGGTTGATATGCCGTAAAACAAAATAAACCAAACCAATCTAAACCAAAGAATACATACTCTATTCATACGAATCTATCCTAAAAATGTTGTTGGCATTAAATAACCCATTGAGGTTGATATATCGTTAAACAAAATAAACCAAACCAAACCAATCTTCATCCACTAGTACTTGTAGGTAAGTGTCTGACAGGTCTAATTTAGAAAAAAATTTACCTCCATTCGATTTGGCAAAAATTCCTCTGGACTTGGTAATGGGTAGTTATGTCATTTTAAACTTTCATTTAACTCCATTAAAAAATCAGCACATACACAGATTTTATATTCTTTTTTTTTTTTTTTTTTTTTTTTTTTTTTTTTAGTCAAGCTATTGATTGGTCAACTAAACTAGCTAGCAATTCAAACTGTTAAACGTGAACAAAGTCCTGTACTGAAGCAGGGGAAGGTTGACTGTATAAAGCAAGTCAATGAAACTGAAGAAGGCTAAAAAGAGAAAACTCCATATAGTTATTCCTGTTTTGGGTAACCTTGTAAAGATTGTTACTTACAATGATATCAAATTTGTTAACCTGTTGGATAGAGGATCACAAGGAGGATGTATATTATATATATTATTTTTGGTTGGTGATAAGTACATGCTTATCAGTCTAAACCTTAGTTTGGCAGCTGAATCATTAGCCATCATTTACTCTGCAGAAACAACTATTTTGTACAGAAATTGTATGCTGGAACTCCTTGGTTTGGAAGACAAAGCTAGAAATGTACCTCCAAATTTGTTACACTGATAATTTTTCTCTCCATGATGCAGTGCATTCTTTGTTGATCTAATCTGATATAACTTCCCCAGACAAATAGATTTATAGGTATTTACCAGGGCATCCACAGATGTGACACAAGATTAAACTTAATGACCATACTGTGCAAAAATTCCCAAGCCCTTACAGCACTTCCCATATTGGGGACACCTCAGACACCAGGCAATAAACCCATTCCCCCTCCTGAGGGGAAGCTACTGCCTGGAGAGAAGGCTTCCTGGAATTTGGCTTTAAAATTTAAAGTATATAAATCCCAATCGAAGGCAAATAGATTTATAGATATTTACCAGTGCGCTCACTACACAACAGATGTGACACAAGGTCAGTTTAAAGTGGGTTTATTGGCAGTACCATGGAAAAATTCCCAAAACCCTTCAGCACTTCTCCTTTTGTGGATGCCTCAGGGACTGGGCAATAAACTCGACCCCTGCCTGGGAAGATGGTCCCCGGGGCTTGGGTTAAAGCATAAATCCCAGCCAAAGGCAAATATACTTATAGTGATTTTTTTTTTTTTTTTTTTTTTTTTTCCAAGTATAGCTTAGATGTGGCACAAGGCCGAAAGTAGGGGGCACCCAGTGAGTATCGAACTCACTACTCATTGTTCTTGCGAGATAAGCTTGCTAACCATTACACTGCCTCAAGGTGCCTTGCAAATACATTTATATATCCCCAGTGGAAAGCCATGTTTATATAGAACTCAATGGGCAGTGCCCATTTCAACTGCAGGTGGAATAGATCAGCTTATTAAAGCACAAGTTTACATTTGCTGAAGACTAATACTTGTGGTGATTAGTAAATATAAGTTTAACAACTTCACATTCTTCCACTCAAAGTTCAGACAAGAGACTGAAATATTGAAATTTGCCATACTTAAAGAGATGTTAAATAAGAGTGAAATATCAACAGAGGAAAAGATTGTATATTCATTAACAAAGGAAGGAGTTCTTTCATTTGAGATTTTTAGATACTTTTCTAAACCAAATAAAGATTTTTGCTGCAATTAAAATAAAAATGTCCAACATTACAGAGTTCCAAGTGAGTTATATCCCTTAACGAAAAGACATGTTTTGTTGTCTGCTCTTGTCTTCCAAATATGTATAAAAGCGGGATTTTCACTTGTCACCAGTTTTTTGTGTGTACAAACTGGATCTACAATCTGCAGCTAGTCGGCATTACAAAATTCTTCTTACCTAGATCCAAATATCAATAATTCATGCCGGTGAGAAATGTACAACATTTTTTTTCTTCTATTTTAGATACCTGTGTTAGATTTGAAGACTTTCTGCTGGTCATATATCCAAAGTGTTCATGATGACGCAAAAGGTATGTTCTCCTCCAATCATGCATTGTGTGACTGAAGTAAATAGAATTATTTTGCTTAGATTTGACATTTCCTTTTGTTGTATTCAATGATTAGCTGCTCAGTTTTTTTTTTCTTTAACCATTTAACAATACCTCATACTCCAGAAACCCATGAATTATCAAATTTGCAAAGATATTGTTGATTTACAATGATAAAATAAACCAGTACCAAATTTCTTTGATGTAGAGAATTCCACTTCATCTGTGAGCCTTTAAATCTTAAATAAGCTTGAACCTTCACAACCAAAAACAGCAATACAATATTTCTTTAATGTAAAAACAGTTTCATCTTTTTCCATTTTTTTCAGGTTATCCACTTTCCAGAAAATATCATGGCTGTATACATTATAAAGACGGTGAGTTACTGTAACTGAATATTTGCCTTTAAAAAAAAAAAAAAATCAACCATTGCTATAGTTTATGAATTTCTATGTTCATACAATGTCAACTTTTATGTGATATGTCCCTTCAGGATGTAGGTGATCATGGTCCTCCACAATTTCCTGTCCTTTGTAGCTCTTAATAAATTCTGCCTTTTTGCTACCACTCTCAAACCCAGTTCTGCCATCCATTCACTCAAGCCCACCAGGTAGGTTATGCATTGTTTTCCTGTCCCTCTTGCCTTTAATCTGTCCTGTGAGTATCTAATATTCCAAGCCCTCTTTCCTCATTATGAGCCCTAAAAATTTCAAGTGATGTTAAGTATAAATTTCCTTTTTGTTTCTATTTTCTCTAAAATTTTGTCATTGCCCACATCTTTGGTTCATGATATTCCCAGCATCCTTCTGTAGAACCACATTTCTGTAGCTTCAAGTCTCTTCATCTGTGAAGATTGTCCAGCATTCACTGCCACATTGAAGAATTGATATTGCATAACAGTTCAGTACTCTTTTCTTTGTTTATCCAAACATAATCATTCAAAAATAACTATGGTTTTATAATTAACAACAAAAGTTTAAATGAAAACAATTATTCAAGAATCTATTATTTTATAGTTTTTTTTTTTTTGTTTTTTTGTTTTGTTTTTTTTTTTTTTGTTTTTTTTTTGTGGTGTGGTATAATTATTTTGTTTGTGTGTGTTGCAAATTTAATTTCTTGGACCTTTGCTAGATTTTCAGATCCAGTTTCAAATATTGAATAAGTCTCAAATATTAAATAAGAACTTTCTTTTCCCAGCTTTATGAATTTCACTATGTTATCTATTTTTATCACAAAGAGATGTACATAAAATGCAACTTTCAAGCTTTTTTTTTCATTACTTTTAAATGTGCATTGTTTACAGTTCGTCTAATGTCCTCATCTTTGTTTTTATTATTACAACATTTTGGACGTTTGCCTTCCAGTCTTCTTTGCAATATTTCTGGTTAAAAAATGATGATAATAACAATAAAGATGGGGACGTTAGTTTGACTGTAAATAACATAAAAAATTCAGGCACCAACATTTAATGTTCAGATTTTTTTTTTTTTTTTTTTTTTTTTTTTTAAATGGAGGTGGGGCTTGTCTACTACTCTGAAAACACTTGAATTTCATTTAAACAGAACTTTTGAAGATTTATGATGTATTAAAGTGAATTAATAAATTCTTTATTTACTTAGATGTCATTCATTTACTTTCTCTCTCCCTCTCTTTCTCATAGATGTGTATATTTCTGGTGGTATGCATCCAACAGCTATTTTGAAAGATATTTGGAAATTCTCTTTAAAAACACACAAATGGACGTACCTAGGAGATATGCCTGAAAAACTTTACTTTCATGGATCGGCTGTCTCTCCAGTAAGTATAACAATCTGAAAGCTCTTCAATGGAAATAGAAAATTCTTGCAGCTCAAGGCAATTTTCATTTGGACTGCTCATCTAACAATTCAGCTGATGTTTTATTGAGAAATCTCTAAACAGGGAAAAGTTTTGAGGAATAAGAATATCCTCATTTTTAGGACCTCATGTTTGCATTTCAGTTTCTCAATGATTCAGAACCTTACAGTCATGAATTACCTGTTTGCTTGAATGTACAGTCCAAATAGAATTGCTTTTAGAATAATTGTCCTTCTTGTACATGAGTTTTGGAACTTAGATCATACTATTTTAATAACTTCATGAGTTGCTGAAATTTTTTAAAAGTTGTTTTCACTATAACCCCATTTTCTTAGTTTTTTTTTTTTTTGTAATATTATTGTCCATTCATTCTGTAGACACACCTGAATTGGGCTGGAGAATAAATTGGTTAAAACATTAGGAATAAACAACTTATGAATTGTCACCATTTTTCCTTATGTTACTGCACTATTTCACTCCTGACTTCCAGGAAAAAAAAGACTAATATTTTTAATCAATCAGGCAATATTGTAGAATGTAGAATGACACCTCACAAAATCTCAAACAAAAACTTTTCTTCTTTTAGTAAGTTATTATTGCTTGTGTAACATTTTAATAACATGTCACTTGGCAGGAGAAAAAAAATTTCTATGATTACAAATCTCAATTTTGTTCTTTTTGTTGTTACTACATTTCAGTCAATCCATTTTTCATTCTTTTTATACAAAAAAAGATGGCCAATACTTAAAATGATAACTACTCTCGGAATTGCAGATAATATTTTTGCAAGATTTTACAAGTTTCATTTTATCCATTAAATACAGCCAATATAAAACCTATTTCTCAAGTGATATTTTCTTTATTCTAAGTGACAAGAAACAATAGTAATAAACGTACAATAGTAACCCCAACAAGAAATATCAATAATTTGATTAAGCTATACAATTAGTACTTTTTTAGTATTGATTAAAATTGTAATAATTTTGTTGGTTAATTTTTGGTTAATGTTAGGATAGGGATATAAAATTTATTTTAAACTTTTTAAAACACTGGACATTTTTTTTTCTTTAAATGTAAAATCAAAATTGAACACTAACAAATTTTAGCAGTAATATTTTAAAAATTTCTCAGTAAAGAAAATTGTGTACAGAACAATATATTGGGATATGGTCATGTTAAGTAATCTCTCTTGTTATAATATTTACTTAATAAATGTAAACTGGTTATTTTATTATATATTTATTTTAAACATTTTTATACAACTTAATTTCTAAGGTTTATTTGTATAGGTGAAGTGGTACAACAATTAACAGTTCAAATTTCAACTGTGGCTGGATTCACTTTGGAAAAAGCATGAATACATCTAGACCTGCTTTCTGTCCCAATGTCTTATCTCCTTACAGAGTTCTCATCACTAACATGTCATGATAATTGACAAAGTATGCAGTCTTGTCAGGGATTTTGCTTTGTTACCTACATGTCTCATGTTACTTAGAGGAGATGACTACTGCCAAGTAACCCACTTCACCCAAGACATGTCTTGAAACATAAGTTGATATTCTGAGTAAGAAAATATTAGGTTTTATAAGTGTTAGATTTTCAGCATGAGTGGAATTTTTTTTTTTGTATTCCTATATGAAAATCTGTAACCGTAAAAATAAAAATTTGCCTGTAATTCCACATACTAATTACTGATCTGGAAACATTTTTATGCCTTCATCTCCTTTTGCAAGTTTCAAAAACTTACAACTTGTCTTTTTTTCTTTTTTTTCTTTTTTTCTTCCTTTAGGGAGGCAGCATGTATTTGTTTGGTGGGGTTAAAGAAGACGACAATAGAACAAACATTTTGTTTCAGATGAGGCTTGAAGTGCCACCATTACAAGAACTGATCTGGGAATTTATTTGCCATTGTAATTCCCATTTAGACTTGGTAGATCCCAATGAACTTCGCTCGCTTGGCATCCCTAAAGAATTTATTAATCGACTCACACAGAGCATACCTGGTGTTGCATCAAGTACACTTTTAGAGCGATACATTACATATATTTGGAATGAACTTTGTTAAAAGTCTTGAAAAGAGACCACTTCATTTGTCTTTCAGAAAGTGATGAGGAGTTTTAGAGGAGGAGTTTTGTTTTGAATATTAAAAATTCTTTGTTTCTTTGTAGTTTTTTTTTCTCTCTCTCTCCCCTTTTATTGACAGAATTTAGAATTTTTATAACTTCCCTTCAAAATATTGACAAAGAAGTAATCTTTATTTACTTTTTTTTTTTTTTTTTTTAAGATTTTTTTTCTTTTTCCCTTTTTAAAATTTTTTTTCACCCTGTACTTTTTAAAAAAAATTTTTCCTTACTTTTGTTTATTTATTTCCCTTACAGTTTATAGTTGAGGTTTTTATTTTTGTTGACTCTTTAAGACATTTCCTACCCACATTTTTATTTATGGCAAGGTAAGTCCAATGTTTGCTGGCCTGTAAAATGCATGTTTTGCTATATTGATGGACTGCTGCTTATCCTGCTCTTCTGTCTGTACAGCTCAAGCCTTCAGTTATCAGTTTTTCATCCATGATATTAGTGCATTGGACATATTTAGATACATTTCAGAGGGTAGAGAATAAACCCATCTTTATAGGCCAGTAAATGTATTTTGTGATATTAAATATTATTTATTTTTACATACTGTAAAATATTACTTTTTCTTAGTGGCTCATCATGTACATACAGGCCCACTACTTTTCATTTTTTTTTTTTTTTTTTTTTTTTCCTGGACAAGAAACATTTAATATGTATGGCAGCTCTTTATACCGGTCATGAAGAGTGACCTTTCAGCACTGTGGTTTTAAAGATTTTTAAGCATTTAAAATGTTTTTATATATAAACCCCCATCCAGTTTAATTTGTTGCAATTTTAATTATCTGTTGTTAACCTCAGAAACAAACAATTGATGAGTTTTATTTAATAAGGATTCTAAACTACATGGATACTGAGGATAGTAATCAGGATATGCCCAAGTGTTTCCGCTTTAAATAAGAATTCTTGACTCAATAAGGAAAGTGAAATAATCATACACTGAGGTTGGTAACAACTACTAGTCCTTATATCAAATAACTTTTATGAGAGTATATTGTTATAATTGCTCTATTTTAGTATTAATTGTTAATCTCTTATTGTGCCTGATTTATAAATTACACTTTATCATAAGTTTGTATGTATAGGAAAAAACTTGTGTGTGTAACAAAGATTTTTTTTTTAAGAAATAACATGGTCAGCCAGGGTATTTCTGGAAGATAATACTTTTAAGGCAAACAGTTTTTGCAATTATAATGCTTGGTATCAAGAGATAGAGCATTAATAGTAACATTTTACTATCAATCCTCCTCTTCCACCAACAAGTGAATGTAATCTTTGTGAAACTCAATAGTGTCAAATAAGTGAACATTTAATTTTATTTATTAGTAAAATTTCAGCCAGAGAACTTTTCTTAGCCAGTGTGTTTCATCCTCCAATGGATTTTCTCGAGTTAAATGTAAAAATTATTTAGGTATTTATAAGCAGAAGTAAAAATATTCTTAGTCTTTTAGAATTTTCTAAAAGATTGCTCATAAATATACATCAGGCTAACTGAAAAATAAAGGTAAATTATGAAGGATGCTAAGTGATGTAATTTAATGTCTAATAAACAAAATGAGTAAATTTATTTTTTTTTTTATGTAATTATACAGGGTACAGAGTGATTGAAAAGTAACTCCCTATTTTATACATGACTAACTATAATTTTTACAAGACAGGAGAGTCCATCATATATAAAGTAGGGATTTACTTTTTAATCACCCTGTATTTAAGTTGAGAAATTTATTATTATATTATTATTTTTTTTTTTTTTTTTTTTTTTTTTTTTTAAATGATAGATTTTGAATTTAACTGTTTTCTTTTTAATTTTTAAAAATTTTTTAATAGTCTTGTATATTGACTTAGGAAAGGACATGTTTGAAAAAATCCAGAGTATAGATTTCTATTCTGGTAAGATTTGATAGCAGCACACTCAAGAATTTTCTGTCTAAGTTACTTTTCCTTTTAATAAGTGTAACTTAGATGGAAAATTCCATCAGAGGTTGAAACATATCAGCTAAGAAAAATATTCCTTTGTATTTATTCATATTGTCTTTTTATAGATATAACTAAAATTATATCTGAATTATATAAGAGAGGACTCAGTACTGTCTGATTTCAAATATATACTGGATGTATCTGTCTATATTTCTGAGATGAGGTATTATTTACATTATTCGGACTATTGTCCTCATCTTTATTACAGCATTTTGACAGCACCCATAGAGTGTGAGTTCAATACCCAGTTAAGGCAGTGGAGAACTTGGAGAGGGGAATCAACAGGAGATAACTGACATCCATTAAACATGGCACGTGGAACTAGAACAGTCTACCCCAGTGAGTGAAATAAAGGGTTCAGTTTGACATTCCAACCACCTGAAGAAGGCCAGAGTGTACAACAGCTGAAACGTAATAAATATGGCGACAAAGATGAGGACAATGGTCTGAATAATGTATATACTGGATGTCTTAGAACATATATCTTCAATGTTTGACAAGAAGGGAAGTGTGTGTGTGTGCATATATAAAATGTGAATGGCCAAACACTTATCAATGATCATCAAAACTTATTTCATTCATTGGGGGGGGGGGACTCTTTTTACTTATATATTGGCTGTAGAGAAAATGAAAACTTGTGGATTGAAATCCTTCAACTTTTGTATGTCTCTTCAGCTATGCAAAGTCTAAGGACAAATAATTTGAATAATAATTCAAAAAAAGACTTCATTTTCAATATTGAAAAGATTTTTTATTTTTTGTAAAATTACAGAAAGCTGACTTATGTGGACGGAATAATTCATCAGGATTCTTCAATGAATGGAATCCCTAGTGAGATTTAAAAACAAAAAAAATAAAGAAAATTATAATTAAATGAACTTCATTTTCAAATTAACTTTGTATAGAAATGAATGTAGCCACACTTATTTTTGTTCTCTTTTGGTCAAGATACATACAGGAAATGCTATCAAGGTCAAAGTATTTGTAAGGATGAACAGAGGAAAGCTGGCCATAATGGTCAAACAGTTTTGAAGACAACTGTGAATAATAAAATTCGAGTAGGAGAAAAGAATGAACAGAATCACTTCACACCTATTTAAGTAGAATAAGATTGGCCAAAAGATTTACTTTACTAAAAATATAAAGATCTAAGGGAATGTTTCATTGTTCATACAGAAATGAGAAAAATTTAAAACTTCCTTGATTTGAACTTTTTTTTTTTTTTTTTTTTTAAATAGTGCACTTATTGCTCCATCACTGCCAATTTTATAAATGTAAATTAGCAGATTTGAAGCTTGGTCAATCATAAATAAAAATAATTTAAAAAAAAAATGATTATTAAAATAAATTTACCAACTGCTAAAACATGAGTTCAGAATATATAAATACATGTTTGTGAAGCAAAAATACAATACAATAAAAATTGATTATTACACTAAAAAAAACCAAAAAACTATTGACTTTTTATCAACATATTTACAAATGCAACAAATAACATGTTGACACAATAACTTTTATAAAACTTAAAGTATATTTAATATCACATTTCAAGTATTTGAAGACATTGTTTTATTTTTTTCCCTAATAAGCATTTAAATTTTTCTAATCAAGTGAGCCAAGATCGGAATTAAGAAATTTTAATTTGTTCCAATTATCAAAATTTTTAATTTAAATTAGGCAAACATGAACCTTTTTATGCCTAAAAAAAAAAAAGTGTCAAAAGGACAGTTTTTATCATGACACTGCTTGTATTTTAACTACCTTCAATCCTTGGCAATATTTGTTTTAAAAAGTGAAGATTAGAATTTTAATAAAATCTAAAAATATGATGAAAGTGAATTAATAAATTTTTTTTTGTTCTTGAGAATTTACAATAAAAATATTAATCATTGTTTATTTACAACATTCTAAAAAACTAATACAATTGTATTAAAACTAATGAAATGAAATATTTATCATTTACTAATTTATAAAGAAATAAATATGAAAATAATTCTTTATTCATAAATTTATAAACATTTAATAAATTATTAAAATATGTGAATCAACTATAAGGAAATCCTTATTCACCATTTTATAAAGTTCAAATTCATTTGTGAAACACTGGCTAATTGCCAAAAATTCCAATAAACACTATAAATAGTGTAATAAAGAATCTAATAAATAAATGTTTATTATTGTCAATTCTTGAACAAAGAAAAGGTATAAATTCACTTTCATATGTTTTAGGTTTTATTAAAATTCTAATCATTATTTTTAAAACAATAAACATTGCTGAAGAATGAAGGTAGTTAAAATAAAAGCAGTCTCATTGGAAAAAAAATCATCCTTTTGACTCTTTCTTTTTTTGTGTGTGTGCATGAAGGTCCATGTTTGCTGTAAATTATTTATTTTTATTACATTTAAGTAGGGAACAAATTTTTTTTCCTTAAAAAATAATGAATATTTGATCTTTCATTTTCAAAATATTTTTTTAGAAATTTAAAATAAATTTACCCATATATAACCTAGTAGGCCAGTCTGAGGGTTGATTTTTCTCTGTCCTCTTATTACTATCAGCATATTAAAAAATATTTATCACAAACCTTAAATGCATAAACATGATTTTTTTTTTTTTTATTGGATTGCTCACTGAATTTAAATTAGGAATTGAATTTTACAATACGGCATGTCACAATTCAAATATGGCTACCAAAAAAAAAAATAACAACAACCTAAAATCAATATCTTCTAAAGGCACATTTTAGAAATAAGAATATAACTAAATAAGTGGGGGTGGGTATCTTGTTCAAATATTTCATATTTAAAGTTGCATTTTTCTTTTTTTCTTTTTTCTTTTTTTTTCTTTTTTGTAAGCAAAAATGAGGTCGATGATCAATTCAAATGAAATTGCTTTCCATCTGTTATTAAAAATTTTAAAAATGGTCTGATTGCTTTAAAGGACAAGTACAAAATTTGAAGCAACACTCAAAAATAAAAACCTTTTCTTTTTAATTTAGTTACATTTTAAATTAAAAAAAAAAAAAAAAAAAAATGTAATGTTGGATCATGTCCTAAACTCCTATTTAAAATATTATCAGAAATGAGATATTGTCAAATGATTTTTTTTTTTCTCTTTATTGCATACACACATTTGGCAAAATTGTGATAGTGAGATGCTAAATTTTTGTTTTGATCGTGGTATGTGTGAGAGTGCAACACCATTGGGAAGAAACAACCTTGGTAACAGTCGCTAATAGTAGTAGTAATAATTGTATAGGAGCATTCATTGTCTACTTGCTTACTGAAGGGAATCAGAAAAATGGATTTTTATAAAAAGAGAAAAGACAGTGGCAGTCAGTCTTCAGTTATTCTTCAGCAAATCAATTTCAGCTCGGGAACGGATTTCATCCATTGTATAGTCTTGCAGTAATTTTCCATTTTCAAAAACTGGAACAAGTATGTCCTGAGCGTCAGCAAAAAAAAAAAAAAAAAGTGTTAGATTTAAAAGAATTATCTGAACAGCAATTGTTGGAATTGTTAGGTAACCTAGACATTTGGGAAGGATAAAATAATTCAGAACCTATACTGAAAGCAAGCCACCTGCATACAGACAGAAAATGAATTCAGCAAATATACAAAAATAGATAGGTGTTTAAGACATGGATGTGCCTTCTTATTCAACCTATACAGTGAGGTGATTCTCAAAGAATTAGAAATCCTACCCGGATTTATAATTTGTGGCCACAATCAGAACAATATAAAATATGCAGATGACAGTGTTGATAACAGACACAAAAGGAACTACAAAAGATGAATGAAAGAAAGGCCTAAATATCAATTGCAAGAAGACAATGCATGGTTATTAGCAAAAGGAACAACCCAACATGCATATTACAAATTGGAGATACCAAAATCAAACAAGTACAAAAATTTAAATATATAGGAAGTATTTTAACAAAGGACAAAGTGTGAGACATATCTGGAAACACATTGGATGGTAAAAGATTCCTTATAAAAGCTAAGCAAAGTATTAAAGAGAAAGATTTTATTACACACAACAAAAAAAGTACTGAACTGTTATGTAATATCAGTCCTATATGGTAGTGAATGCTGGACAACCTTATCACAGATGAAGAAGAGACTCCTAGTAACAAATGTGAAATTTCTAGGATACATAATGAAGAAAGAGTGCTTGAAGAATTTGATACAAGACATTGAAGGCAAGTGGAACAGAGGAAAACACCTAACCTACCTAGCAAGAATGGATTGCAGAACAAGATTTAGGAGAGAGAACAAAAAGACAAAATTTATTAAGAGTTACAAAGTACTGGAAATTGTGGAGAGCCATAATCACCAATGTCTTGAAGGGACATGACACATAAAAAGTCTGAAAAACCTGATGATTAACTATATTTCATTTCTGTCTACCATTTATGCTCACAAGATAAACTAAAGTGATTGTTATTTTAAGAGAAGAAAGTGGTAGAAGCTTCTTTTAGGTTCCTTGTCTCTTCAAGATATGGGTGATCATGGCTCTCCACAATTTTCTGTCCTTTGCAGCTCTTAGTAGATTTTGTCTTTTCACTACCACTCTTAATCCCTGTTCTGCCAACCATTTACACAAGCCCCGTTAGGTAGGTTATTTGCTACTTTCCCTCTTGCCTTCAATATGCCCTGTGAGTGTCAAATTTTCTGATCCTTTTTTCTCATTACATGCCCTTGAATTTTTCAGCTATCTACTTCTGATGTTAAATATAAGCTTTCTTTTTCTGTCTTAGTTTATCTTAAACTTCATTGCTCACATATTCAGTCTATGGTATTCTCAGCATCCTTCTGTAGAGCCACATTTCTGTTGCCTCAAGTCTTTTCTTCATCTGTGATGAGATTGTACTAAAAGTAATTTATACCCCTTATCCCATAACAAAATACAGATTTCTGTATGATGGATAAGAGGTAATTTGGAAAAATTCTATGGAGCTTGACAAAAACTTTTCAAGAATTAGAGGCCCTACTTCACATACTAGACAAAACATGAAAGCAAATAACCCTTCTAAACAGTTTATATAGTACTTGTAAAATTTGTCATATTGTCATGGTTTCAATGACTAAAAGGCTTACAGATATTTACTAAGCATTACTTAGTATACACAAGTGCAGTGATGAAATTTATTACAGTAATTATGGTCTTCAAGACTTGCAGGTTAACCATTGTGCTATAGTAGTGTACTTAGCAAAAGATTTTTAAAAAAGGAAAAAGATACTTTATATTTCAGTTTGTAGTAATGAATTTCACTAAGCCCAGAACAGATAATCCAAAGTGTTAGTGTAAAATACAACTACTGATTATAATTTCTGTCTGAATTTCTTTGATGAAAAGTTATGATTATTTGCACTATTTACATTCAGGCTATTGTCCTCATCTTTTTGTTGTTGTTGTTGTTATCAGTTTCTGAGATGAGGAGTTATTATACTATTTATATTTGAACTATTGTCCTTATCTTTGCTGTTGTTATCACAATGTTTTGGCCATTGTACCCTCCAGCCTTTAACAGGTGTATATCGATCTGGGTAACCTAAGGGAAATCTGAACTGAACCATTTATTTAATGTAGACTGTTCTTGTTCCACTGCACATGTCTAGGGATATAATCTAGTTCTTATTTTTAATACTTATCAGTTATTGCTCACACTGCCTGGTCCATGGATTGAACTCACAATTACTATATCACCAAATTCACAAACTAAGACTTGAATCCACTAGGCTATTATCTCAGGGGCCAGATAACAACAATAAAGATGAGGATAATAGTCCAAATATAAATACTGATTATAAGTTTGAATATTGATAGCCTACAAGAATTCACAAAAATCAAAATTTACTCATTTCACATATATTTCTTATTCCACAAACTTCAGAATTTTTTATCAGATTATTAGAATTTTGTTTCTTAAGTTGCTGTAGAATTATAAATTGATTTTATAAGAACAGGACATCATGAATGACTTGAAAATTGACATCCTCTACTTAAAACTTTCCCTGATGCATTGTTATAGCACTGTTGTCTGGCTGTGCTGGCCCAGTTTGAAAAAAAAACAGGAAATTGCTATTTACTGGAAATAAATTGCTAAGAGACTGATGGCAATTTCCTGTGTGTGCAACCATTTTGATTTTGATCACATACAGTACAGACTAAGCTAAATAACACTCCCAATACACAATAGGATAAAAGTATGTCACAGAACAGGTCATATTGGACACTACTATATGTCTACACTGGCTTGAAAACAGCACTAAATGCTAGTAAGTTTTTAAAAGAAAGGCTAGGAATCAATATTTCAGTGTTGTAAAAATGTATGTGTGTGTGTGTGTGTGTATATATATATATATATATATATATATATATTATAGTAAAAAAAGAAAGAACAGTAAGATATATAATCCGGTGTTCTTTGATATTTTTATTTTTACAAAACAGTGCTCAATGTGAATTTACAGAGCATAAATAAGAGTGATTTGGAAAAAGAGTTCAAACCTCACTGAGAGTTATTTTATTTCAATTTTTTACCTTCCCTCCACTCTCTTCAAATAAAAAATTTAAATACTTACTTTATTAAGATCACCTTTCCCTCTTTGAACAGTCACAAATTGGCCATCCTTGCATTCAAGTGTCAAGCGGCCTTTTTTACTTTTCTTCCCAGTATCAGTTATTGGTTGCTTAAACACAGAAATCTACAGGAAAAAAAAACAAAACTACAATTAATTTGTCTGATTTTTTAACAGACTAAGAAGCAAAATGGTAAACAATAGTTATTGTTTATGGATACCTACAATATTTTCTCTTTGATTGTAAATGTAACTATTAATAAAAATGAGAATCAATTAAAAATAGCATATAAGTTAACCCCAAGGATTTAGATGGGCGAAAAAGCAATAGTTTTCATGTTCTTGCCATAGACAACCTTTCTATGCCTTTATCATGCTTTCAATTCTCAACAGCTTCAAACCCATCATGGGAAGTTAACTATTTCAAGGTAAAATATTGACATTCTCTTTCAGTTAGACCCTTGATGTTTTTTTTTTCAATTGAACATGTCTTACTATTACAAATCATTTTGCTTATCTATTGGTTTATGCTAAATGTATATATATATATATATATATATATATATATATATATATATATATATATATATATATATGTATATATTTAAATTTTTACAAAGCTCTGAACAGTAACCACATTCATTCTTGATTGCATTGAATGCATTTTCAAACTACAATTATAATGCCCACAAAAAATATATTTCCTAACTACAATTATAATACCAACAAAAAAGGTCTTTCTTAATGCCAACAAAAAAAGTCTTTCTCGATAAATGTACTCTCTGTAATGCAAAAGTTCTTATCTACAACCTTGTATTATATAATTCAGTTTTGTATCAATAAGATATTTCAAGAATTCAGTATCTTAAAAATGTTTCAAAACATCAATAGATAACTTCTTTAAATGACTATACTAAATAATTCCTTCTGATATGCATTTATCCATCTCAAATCTTAAACAAGTTATTTTTTTTTTTACATAATAAGCTTTTTAAGATTATAGTTTAGAGTAAAAATTGGCTTTTAAAATAATTTGAAATTTCAGGAAGCATACAACAGTGGTTTTCCTAAAACAATTCACTTTAACACACATTAAATATCAATATCCTTTTCACCTTAATAATTATTCAAAGATAAAGTCTAGCTCTTAGAATTTGTATGTATTCTATAATATTTATCATGAAGAACAAATAAAAGACCACGTGAATATAGATTAACAAATGATAATGTCAGTAATAACAACAATATATTCTAAGATATTTATAACTGAATTATTGATATGACTAAAAACTTGCTGTATACTTATTGACTAGGCTAAAATCATCACATACTATTCTATTTGTGTCATGCACAAATAAAAATGTAACATATTTGATGGCATCTAAAATTACCCCCTACAAAAAAAAAATGGTTCAAAAATATCTCTCAGATCTTATATACAAATTTCAGGTATTTGGTAAACTATAGAATACCAGCACTTATATACCAAGCCTAACTCCATAATATTGTAAAGTTTTTGACCTGATCAAGAAAAGATTACAAAAATATTTTTGGAAGTGGGTCTGGCCAAGAATTTTCCAGCACTTCCTCCAATGAAATGTAAATGTGTCTTATGTACCATTGACAATAATTATATCTGAATGAAAGTATTGAATAAAATAAAATAAAATAAAATCATTTCACAAAGAGTACCAACCAAAATGAACAGACTAGAAAATTAATTTTAACAGGTATATGTCCACTTTTTTATATACTTACCTCTTTTCCATCAATGATAGCGGCACTACATTTGTAGGCACATTTCTGTGTGTCACGGTCAATTTTCTGTAATAAAGCTCCACCACTACCAAAGGTCACATTGTCGATACTCCAAGAATGCTTTTTTAGGTTCATACCAATCTCCTCAAGAGTTTCATAAGATACTCCGTCACCTTGTATAACACGTATATAAGATGGAAGTAATTTGTAGCCTTTAGAATTGGTTGTAGTTCCAAATTTACGACCCAGGATTTCAAGCACCTGCAAAAGAATGTACTTTTTATATCTATATGATGTAATGAATATGCATACACCTGTGTTCCCCCTCACAGTAATATGATTGGCTGGTGTCAGCCATAAATACAGACTGATGTGGAGGCACATGGAGGACACCTATTGACTATGCCTATTGTCTTCGCCTATTGCCTACCACTACGACGAGGACCAGTCCATTACAGTTACCTGCTAGATTGTCCTACCCGGTTACAGTAGTCAACAACCACTTTGCTACTTCGAACAAATACATCACTTTCCAATCCATATCACTATATAAGTTAAAGATATCATAATTGCCAGGGCCAGCTCATATTACCTCCAAAACTGCAGGGGTAGGGTTTCAAGCCTAACTGGAGGCTCTGAGTAGTGCTTTGTGATGTTTGCTATCTTATCAACGTTTGCTTTTTTTCTACCTACATTTATATACATTACCAATTTAACTAAGCAAAACTGACTATCAAAGGATGAAAATTTTTTACATCATCCTGGGTTCTTTTTGGGGGTTTTTTGTCCAAATCTATGAATTTGTTTTGCTCATGTTAAGTCTTGAAAAAACACTATATAAAATTCACTATTTCTTGGATGTGTTAAAATTGTTCAACCCTTTAACGAAAAAAAACTGCAAAACATTGTTGATTTATTTAAGATGGAATGATCGATTATGACATGTCTCTAATTTGTATTTCAGTACATTCTATTTATTTTCAATTTTTCTAGTTGAATTATTTACATATATTACATACATTGTTGTATATAATTAGGTTACAATCAAATTTGTATCTCTATCTATAAAAGGCAGGATGTGTGTGTGTGTGTGTGTAACGAATGCATGGCTGCAATCTTTGATGGATTTGCACCAAAATTTACATGCACATGCTCCAAGTTAGCGGGAAGGCCAAGACTGACTTAGCATTTCCCAACTCCCATTGATAGTGGAAATAATCAATTTTTTTCATGCTTCTACGGCAGTTTTCATGTAGTTTGTGGCCATTTTCTACTGGCCAGAGTGAGAGCCTATAGCTGGCTGCCACGAATAGGCAGGAAGATTCTATTGGTCAGCGTGAGAGCCAACAGTGAATGTTAACTAGCATGCTAGCATGCAAAAAAATCAATAGCTGTATTCGTCACAAGTGGAAAAAATTTAAATCTGCATGTCACTTTACTCCAATTGGCTCATTCGCTTGCTTAAACTCAATGTTGAATCTGATTCCGCAGAACTGGGTTGGGTGTGAAAAAGTATTTGTTGTTAACATTCTTTTTTCATTTGTTTTCTCCAGTTATGAGTCCTTTTTTAAAGCTGATCGTTTTGTGTTCATTTTGTTTAGTTCTTTTTTCATAACAGATTTAATGTTTACTATAGAGCTTAGAAAAAATTTGCAGTGTGAGATAGGCAAGAAGTAAGGCATGTAGCAACATCAGCACGGCAAAGGGCACTCCTTTAAAGGCAAGGAAGGGCAAAAATATTTTAAGTCAAGTGATAGCGATTACTGTATGAGTTGTGCGATTTTTGAATCAAGCATGGGCAATGCCGGGCCATGCTGCTAGTTTTATATGAATACTACCTTTTGAAAATTAAGATGTAGTGTGGGGGGTATAACACCTTTGCATCATCCCTGCAACAGTCATCATTTAATAAGATTGGCTTAGTTATTGTTTTATTCTTACTTGCTTTTTTAATTCTCTACAAACTTTTTTTTTAATTATATACTCAACTTTTTCAACAAGGATTTCAAGATAAGATATATTACAGTATGTTTATGATTGGTTTAATATTTCTCAAGTACTATCCAAGCTGAATGGTATCACCAAGATCTAGTTTAGTAGTAAATTTAATTCTCACAAATTGAAACCATTTAGCATTAGTGATGTAATAAGTAATGCTAAGTCACATCAAAGTAGCCTACACATGTGAATCATAGTCTTTGTATTTCTAACTACCAATCAATATAAATCAAGCCACCATATACTGCAATACAAACCATTATGAATCAACAAGCCTGTTACTCCATGGAAGCCAAAACCTTACTGCCTCAAGGACTCAGTTTGAGTTTATATGTAGGGAAGTCATTTGCATAAGCGACATAAAGATACTTCAGTTGGGTCTTTCCACAAGTTTCCAACACTATCCACAATACACACATGCTAATCTTGGTATTTTTTTTTCTTTGCTACAAATGAAAATATAAAATCTGACCTTACCTTGATGACCACTTCAGAAGGATTTCCAGAATCTGGCCTCACAACCAAGCGAGCATCACGCTTTCCTCGTTCAATAATAATATCTTTAAGTTCTTCTCCCCACAGTTTTTCACAGGCATTCCAGATATTGTAGCTATCACTAACACAAGCCATAATACCATCAGGAAATTTTTCTAGCATGTTACGAAATCCATTAACTTCTCCATCTTTTCCCCAAGTTGTAATGGTGCTGAAATTACACAATGTAAATATAATAAATTTATATATTGTGAAGATTTATACAGATTTTTTAATACAGGAATTACCAAATTTTAACATAAAATACCTTTTCAGTTAGTTGCAAAGTAGAAATGTAAAATGTTATAAATATTTAATTGGAAAAATTTATTGAAATTTTATTTTTATTTTGTAGAAAAATTTCTTCTTGCTCCACTCAGTATTTTTCATTTTTATGACTGTATTGATATGTAAATGAATGCCTAATTAGTATAACTAAAGTATAGACTATATGAATGCCCAAACTGTGTAGAGAAGCTCTCAATATAGGAGATAAATGACTACTGCTGGACTGATAAAGTACAAATTAAATTTCACTTCATAATAATGACACTATACAAATTTTATGATACAATTTTCTTTTTAGAATAAAAACTCTTCTCTGCCATTTTTGTATAAGTTTCATTATAAATACCCAATAAAAATAAATACTTAAACATTTGCATCCACAAGAAGTAGCTTGTAACTAAATAACACTATACAAATTTTATGATACAATTTTCTTTTTAGAATAAAAACTCTTCTCTGCCATTTTTGTATAAGTTTCATTATAAATACCCAATAAAAATAAATACTTAAACATTTGCATCCACAAGAAGTAGCTTGTAACTAAATAATTTCTAAAAAAACACGTTTGAAAAAGTATTTATCCATTGTCAAGATGACCCTTAAATGGGTTCATCATAGATGATGCCATATTGGTTAACAATATTTTTTAATTTTTTATTTCACAGGATTTCTGATATTCTAAAAAGTATGAAAAAAGAATTAATATTTTTAGATAATTAGGTAGAGAAACTGTAATGAATTACAATAACAATTTTCTTTTAAATAGAATTCTCTCTATTTGCATTATTCAGACTATTGTCCTTATCTTTGTCGCCATATTTATTACAACGTTTCAGCTGTTGTATGCTCTGGCCTTCTTCAGGTGGTTGGAATGTCAAACTGAACCCTTTATTTCACTCACTGGGGTAGACTGTTCTAGTTCCATGTGCCATGTTTAATGGATGTCAGTTATCAGTTATCTCCTGTTAATTTTCCCTCTGAAGGTTCTCCACTGCCTTAACTGGGTATTGAACTCACACTCTTTGGGTCCTGTCACTGGATCTAACCAATACCTTTATCCACTGGGCCATGTGTCCTTGAGGCATTGATTAGATACAGTGTAGTTCAAATAATGTAAATAATGTACATAATACATAATGTCTCAGAAATATAGACAGATACAGAATTCTCTCCATAGGAGTGTATTTTTATCCAGGCTACAGGTAGCAATTTAAGCATTTTACTTATTTTATTGCAATAGGAGTGGACATATTAAAAAAATTGTAATAGGAAAGGAAGTTCAAGGGTAAAAAATATACAATTGCCATCTTCATTATGCCATACAAATTTATATTGATATAGATGAGTTTTACATTATCATAAACCCCATATTTTGTGCCATTTCCTGTATGCTCTGTTGGGAGTTGAATATGATGAACTATTCTAAAAATCTTCCTGAAATTATAAGTCTTATTGATGTCTCATAATGACCTGTTGGTGCCATACTTTGAGATTTTATCACAAACCTAAAGGCAAATGTAACTAGTATTATTACAAGTAGGCATGCATATATGTGTGTGTTCATTTCTATCAAATAAAGATGATGCCCAACGTACATACCTGTGTTCTGCAGCAGGAATAGAATATCCAGCAATATCACAGTTATAATACTTCTTTGCAGTTGTTAAAGCAGCAATTGTGTCTGTGCCAAGAAAGTTAATTAAATGGGCACAACCACCAATACCTGCAGCCTACAAAAAAGACAGATTTTACTTCAAATGACATTGTTATAATAAGCATTTAGAAAGGAACAAACAAGGATTAAAATTTCAACAGCATGTATTTGTCAAATTTCAGAATATTTGCACAGTTGTTTGAAAGGTAATACAAACTGTTAATATGTTTTTCTTCAGTTGCTGTTGTTAAGGAAAGTGATAAGGTGTCATTGGCAGGGCCAGGAGTTGATTGGTTGAGGTTGCAATTGAAGTTAGGAGATAGACTTGGAATAGATTACTGAAGCCAAATGCAGTGTCATTGGTGGGCTTGACATATGCCCTTCTTCGTGATTAAAATCAACACTGGTGAGGTGGTTGAGGGGCCAGTGGTCATATGATGAAGCCAGTATTGAAGCTGAACTGTGTGTTGCCAGTGGTAAGGCCCTCTAAGGTGTATTCACTTGGTTGATTGATTGAGGTCATTGTAGTGGGTTGATTTGTGGTAAGGTGGGTTGATTGCAGAAGTTATAGCAGTGGTGATGAGGGAGCCTGGAGTGGTTAACAAAGGTTGATTGAGTGGAATGTTTCTGTTGGATTCTGATCGAATGTAGTATCAATGAAACAGGGTCATGGTAGTGATGATGACAGAGGCCTGGAGTGGATGGTGAAGGTTGATCAAGTAGAATGTATGTTTAATTCTGGTCAAATGTGGTATCAACAAGATGACATCAACAGAGGCCTGGGACTGGATAATGAAGACAATTCAGGAGTTAGAAATCATGATGTGTCATCAGGAACCTGGCAGTGTCAAAACTGTCCTGTTGGCTACATTCCACATGTGATGAGTCAGTTGGGATGAGTGAAGCCTGAGTGAGATCATGCTGATGAAAGAGGCAATCATGGCAATAACCGCAATAGCATGTCTGCATGTTAACAGGTGGCCTTTTTGGCCTGCTACTGTGTTGCTATGAGAAATCTGGTGGTGCCTAGAATCATTTTTTTTTTTTCAGAAATGTTAGTGATAGGCAATTGTATTTTATTGCAGGTATTTGTTTTGTGGACTAGATGTAATACTCAGAGCCCCTGAAAAAAACAACTTTTTTTATTTTGTGTTTTGCTTTCTTAGTGTTCACTTCCAACTGACATGTAGAGTGAATCAGAAAGTGATCTAACTGCAGCTAAGTATAACAGTTAATCTAATTCATAGGTAGTGAGTGAAGAGTTCAGTAAAGCCGAAAATGAGGTGATTGTTGATGAATAAAGGTGCTTCTTGATTTTTTCGAAGGCTTTATTGACTCTTCAATGTAGAAAAATGGTTTGCTGGCCCTGTTGAGATCATGTATAGGGTGAAGAATGAGTCAAGTCAAATTTGTTCAGGTGGATTGGTCTCTAGGAATTTTCACATCCAAACAAGTCACCCAATGAGCTATTGTAGTTCTTTTTTCATTGTTGCAGGGTTTATTTTGTTAGTTCACTAATCCCTTGCTGCATACTTTTAACACCAGTTGTTATATCCATTTCTGGTGAATCACAGTTGTGGTAAGAGAAGCAGTCATGGCAGTGACGGCAACAACACACTTGCATGTCAACAGGTAGCCTTTTCAATCAGCTACTGTGTTGGTTACAACGAGGGACTTTCTTTTAGGCAAATCTGGTGGTTTCCAGGATCATCTTTTTTCAGCAGGAACATTAGTGATTGGCTACTGTATTTTATTGCAAAGATTTGTTTTGTGGGCTGGATGTGATGCTAGGAGCCCCTGTGCAAAAAATGACTTTTTTATTTTGTTTTGCTTTCTTAGCATTCACATACAGCCAAAGTGTTGTGTGAATCAGAAAGAGATCTAATTGCTGTGGAATAGTGGAGTATAACAACATCACATTGCTATGTTGAGTATAATTTGATTATTAATAAAAGATTGCTTTATAAATCAATAAGAAAATGTTAATACTGTCATTTAAAGAATTGTATTTAAAACTTGAATACTTAGACATTATTAAATGCAATTTATAAAAATTGAAGATAATGTACAACTGACAAATGTAACAAGGGAAAAAAAGAATGGTTATGTGCTGTCAACTTTCATAGTTGTACAGTGAAAATCCTTAGTCTGTGGATGGTTGAAGAGGTGAAAAATTGGCCTTGTAAAAATATTCAACTCATCCCCAAGGAAAAAGAAGAAAGCAAATAAAGTGTTAACCCAAATTTTTTATATTCCAAGAGTTGTTGAGGGGTTTTACAACAGGAGATAAACTAGACAGGAAAATTTCTTAATGACTACTCTTACTACTTCAACTATAACTGTTACATCTGACTGTTACTCAGATTATCATGCAGACTAAATGTACTTAATATGTTGTCCTATATTTATACCTGGTGGGCAGACATAGTAGCAGACACAAAATGCACATATATTTCACAGAAAAATGCTCAACTCAATTTGAATGTGTATTACTTGAAGGGTATAAAAGTTCTAATAACTTAATAATTATACATGCTTAAATGCTGAAACGTTGCATGTTAATAATTTGATATATGTTTTAAATGCTATGTAATTTTTTACCTTTCTCTGTAAATAAGTTAATTATATTTTAAGTTGGTGTCTACTCAGTAGGTATATTTCATCTTACTCATAATTTTCAATAAAATGATGTCTTTATTTTGTCTAAATCTGGTTAATTAATAGAATATTATACTAATGTCTCTGCTATAATTTGAATCTATCTAATTTGTTTATTTTACCAAATTTTAATTTTTAAATTTTCCTTCACAAACACTACATATCCGTTGGGAGTTTAAAATATTTGAAAAAATATCTATTTCATCTAAAATAACTTTATATTAAATTTTCTGAAAAATGTCTTGTAGCTTCTGAATATTTTAGTTTAAAAAGCATAGGACAAAATATATTAATGTTTATATATTAGATAGTTATATTTCAGTGTCATAGGTAAAGACCCACTAATTCCACCACAACTGCAATTGAAAAGAATTTATTTCAACTCAACAAAATTTGACACAACTATATCTAAAACAATACAAAATAATAAGCTAAAACTTAAAGGAATTTACTCTATTACCTTTAATAATTGCCATAAGGAATGCATCAGAGGAATCTTGAGGAATTTAAATAAAAATTATATGAACACAAAAGGGATATTTTACAAAACAACACATTAAATGTATTAGTTACTCACCATAATGAAACTGACCACAATTTTGATTTGAAAAACGCTACTCTTATTAAAAGAGAAAATTTTCAGAGATAAAAATATTTAGAAAGTGCTTTAATTGCTAGATCATACACAGTAAATTTGTATCCAGGTTCTTATAATGTTTCACTATTCTTGGCAGATCTGTTATCAGAATGTGGGATATTTAATAACAAAGATAATGGAAACATAAAAACAATCTAAATAAAATTGCTAATTTTATACTCAAAACACATTAAAAAAAATTAATTTTAAATTTAAATTTCCAAGCATCTGTATGTGTAGTCACATCAACGTAAACATAAACTTGTTCTGATGAAGTCCTAAAGGAGGAAATGTGTCACACAAAAACCTTTTCCACTTTGTCATACTTCTATCCCCTAAAACAAGACAAAGAGTAAACAAATTCTTTTATACTTTTTAATTAGTAATTATAACTGATGAATTTGATTTACTGATTATAAACTAAACTTAATCAATGTTCTACTCCCTGGCCACTGACAAATCAACAAATATCAGTATACAACATTTTAATATGATCTAGCATTTTTATATTTTTGAATTATTTTGTTCTTGTTTCTTTTTAAAATATAGTTGCAATTTAACTGAGTTTTAAACTAAGAAAAAATAATTACCTAATTTGCTTTCAAGCTAAATCTTGTGCAACATATTTTATGCAGGCAGGATTCTTTTTAAAAGCTCATTGATATACTTGCTGGATGAATTCATATTTTATTAAAAGAGTCACAGATTACAAAACAGAACTCTGAGTCTAAGATTATCAGAAATTGGGAAATTTTCTCTAAAAAGGATTATGAAATTTTTCATTGATTTGAGTAGATGAGCTTACAAAGAAAATAAATTGAAAATCTTTTTATTCAACCGAAATAATAACTAAAACAAAATATGGCAACTAAATAGTATATAGCACATACCCAAACTGTGCAGATAATATAATTTATACCACAAAGACCATAAAAAAAGATAAAAGGAAGTGTAGTTCTTTCTTGGTTATCCTATTTTTATTTGCCCGTAGACAAGCAAAGAAAACATGTTTCATCAACAGAGAAAAAGAGAGGGAATAATAAAATTGGCTTTCCATGCCAATAAAAACAACTTCACAAGAGAAGGTTTTGAGAAGAAAAATCCAGATCCCCCTAGCAGTTTATCTTGTTTTAAAGGGTTAATATGATTGCCAGGTCTTGATTCTGCCTTTGAGTTTTATAGCCTTTGGGTATGCAATACTTTTATATCTGTTTATAAGATTTGAAGAAAAAAGTGATGATTCTGATTGAATGCAAATAAATTCTGGTCTGGTTGCTATTGGGACTAATTCAGAGGTCAAGCACAATAAAAAGTTAATAATAAAATCACAAAAAATAACTAAACAACTAGTTGCCATTTATAATACAATATAATTTGGAGAGGGGCCATAATCTCTTGAATAAGTAATGTACCTGGAGAATAGCATGAAGTGCAGGTTGCCTAGAATAACAACCCACATACAGGTGTGAACATTTATTAATAATTAGTTTTATAATTAGAATTGTGTGGAAGTGAACTAAACTAACAATATACTTAAGTGTAATAGACTAACAACCAATTCTTCACAAAATAATTATTCTACTGTTGTTTGGACTACAATTGTCTTAATCATCCTCATAGCTGTGTTATTTTTTGCTGAGGCAGGACCGGGATTAATCTTGCAAAAGTAAGGTGGGTCCTGCCTGACAGTGGATCTCTCGACATAATGATTTGAGACATGGTTTTACAAGGCTGGATTCTCTTCCTGTCACCCAACTCAGACACTCATGGTAGTACTAGTA